GGCCTGCCCTGTGCGCTCCATCTCACGACGATGCTGCTCGGCCAACGCCTGAAGGCAAGGGAGAGAGAAGGGAAGCGAATGGTCCATAAGCACCTTTGCTTAAGGCCGTGTAGGTCTCGCGCACCTTTGCTTTGTCGAAGCCGTGCTCTCGGACTGTGAAGAGCTTTTTCTTCTGCGTGGTGTCATCCTTCGCATACCATGTCGACCTCCACGCCCGGGCCCTCGCATCCCAGGAGACGCCCACGACCGTTGACTGATGCTCGGCACCTTTGCGGATGGCGGCCGTCTTGCCCTTGGTGGCCTCGGCTGCATTGCCGGCCTTTCGTCTCTGTCGCCTCTCGACGGTAGATGGGCTGCTGCTGGCGGATGGGTCTCTGCGGCGGTGCTTCAGAGACGGACTGCGATTGACAGACTCGTCGCAGTGGCCGCCCTCTTGCCGTCGCTCGAGCGCCCGGTTGCCACGAGTGCCGGTCCTTTTGCTGTGCGTGCATTCGGGGCAGAACCACTTGCCCTTGGGGACGGCCGTCAGCTGGACGCAGTAGGTGTGGTACGCCGCAGAGCAGCCCCCGTTGTCACACAATAGCAGAAGCTGCTCATCGTCGCCCTTGCCGCACTCCCAGCACCGCACCGAATCATCCGAAGCACTCCCCGCTTCCTCAATGTCGTCGGTGTTCACCCTCCTGCGCCCTCGCCTGCCGCTGTGACGACTGGTGGACTTGGGGAGAAGGCGGCGCGGCGGGCTCGAGCTGCTGCTATCGCGGTAGTCGCTGTCACGCCCCTCACCACCAGACGACAGTGATGATGTTACATAGCCCTGCCACTCCGACTCAGACGGTGAAGCCATGTCGGCACCGCGGCTGGCCTCACTTGACCGTGGCTTGGGGCCGCGACGTCCGACTGGAGAGAGGGTCGGGGGAACGCGCCGATGGGGTGAAGAGCTCGGTTGGACATCAGACCTTTGACCCAAGTGCCGAGATGACGCCATGCTGCCGCCCCGCATATCGATGTCATTCTCCTGTGCAGCGGGGGGCGACGGCTGAGGGCGGGAAGCCTCCGCTCGACCGTGGCCGGCGGCAGAGTGGGAAGCCTCCGCTCGACCGTGGCCGGCGGCAGAGTGGTGAGGAGAAGGCTGGTGGACGGGCTGGCTGCCGCTGCCCGGACGAGGGTAGTGCCTCTCCTCCATAGCACGGCTGTGTGCTATCGCTGCCTGCTTGGCACCCTCGAAGCCAAGCTCAGCGACGGAGAAGTACTTGCTCTTCGCTTTGCCCCCCACCCGCCAGCTGGCCTTCCAGCGCTTGTATCTCTCGTCGAAGGTGACGCCCTTGATGCCGCTCTGATGCTTGGCTCTCCTCCTGACTACTGCCTGGCCGCTGCGCTCCATCTCGAGACGATGGTGCTCAGCCAGCTCCTGATCCATACGTTTGGGGAAACAGAGAGTGAGATGGAGGTGCGGTGCTGCGATGCGATGCCGGTACCTTGGCTTCGTCGAATCCGTGATATTTGACGTAGAAGTGCTTCTCCCTCTGCTTGCCGTCGCCCTTGTCGTACCAAGTTGCCACCCAAGACTGGTACTTCTCAGACCAGTAGACGCCTGTCACGTCTGAGTGATGCTGGGCCCTCTGAACGAAGGTCTTCGCCTTGCCCGGGGTGGCCCTGCGCCTCGGCTGTTCGTCGGGCGACGACACGTCATCAGCCCAATCCATGTCGTCATCGCCACCAACATCACACACATCTGCCTCGCCACCGTCATGATGCGTCGGACCCATGGAAGCCATACCACTACTCGTGCCTTTGTCGACAGCATGCTTGTCCGTCGGCTGTGGCTGCAGATTGATGCGCCACACGTCGACCACGATTGCACCGTTGCCAGCCGTGGCGTTGAGGTGGTGCGCCGCTTGGGCGAAGGCACGCAGGATGAGCCGGGGTGAGGTCACGTCAGACACACTGAAGACACGCTGCTCGGGCCCCTCTCCGCCGTCTGGTCGGTAAGCCACAAAGCTACCCTCCTCGCCGCGCCATTCGAGACCGAAACTGAGTGAAGCACACACCAAGGAAGAGGAAAATGCGTGGCCCATTCCATGAGACTCCATCGTTCTGCCCACCTGTCGGCATCGTCTTGGTTTACGTCTGCCAGCTGCCGTCTTGTCTGCTCCACCAGGCTGGCTGCCAGAGCATGGCCGTCCGCCTCACCCAGCCTGGGCGACATAAACTGCCTTCCCTTGCCTCCCGACATATCGCGACGGCGCTTGGTCCCTGGCCGATGACTGGCCTCCTCGCCTTCAAAACCAGCCAAGTCGCCCACCCCCCGGCCATCACGACCATGTAATGGCCTGCCTCTGCGGCCCGTGGGCTCAATGCGGGGCGGCATGAGGCCACGCTCCTCGAGTGGAAGGATGTCGCGGTCGTCAAGCAGTAGCGGTGGCGGCATGGACCCATGACTCGCTCCCCCGCCGTGTCGCTCGACAGGTGAGCGGCTCACGCCCTGTCGTCTAGCGACCAGGGCGAGCCACGAGAGGTCGATGAGCACCGCCTGGTCGCCCAGACGCGAGCTATGCAGGGCGTTGCGATACTCGACGGCTTGGCGGAAGGCCGTGAAGATGGCCTCACGGGAGGTGACGTCCTCACCAACACCGAACTGACGAAGATCCACAGCGGCTGCAGCCTGGCTGTCCCAGAAGTAGGCCTCGAAGACGTAGCTCGCCCGCCACGTGACGCCGACACTGACACACGCCACACATATCCAGAGACGAGTCCCTCATGACATCCGGCCGTTCATTGTCGCTGAGAGTCGTCCTCCCTCGCTTACCCTCCGTTGTTGAGGCAGAGGGAGTGGACATTTGGCTGCTTCTGACGCAACCGCCGCATCAGGCCACGACATAACGCGTCGCCCGTCAGCCCGCCCAGATCGTAACGGTCAGGCGCAGGCGAGAGGCCGCCATCCTCCTCGTCCATCCGCCGCTGCTTGTTTCGCTGGCTGCCATTGCGGCTCTCACGTGAGCCACTGCTGTCGCTGCCGCTCGACGGAGGCGCCCCTCTCTCGAACGTGGAGTGTCGCTGCTCCATCAAGGCCCGTTTGTGCCTGTTGGCGGCATCCATAGCAGCCTCGTAGCCCAGCCTGGTATGCTGCCGATGGGTCTTCTGAAGCTGTTTGATGAATCGACTGGCGGCCTCCTTGATGTCCTCGCCGTCACGCCGCCCCACCATGGCCGGCAGCTCACGGCGCACAAACGAGTCGACGGACGCAAAACTCAGAGCTGGGACGGCCGCCAGCATCGCCCCAATGTTGTGACCCACTTGACCAAACACACGGCACAGGACCATCCGCTGGGCGTGTGTCATGGGCTGCTGGTCCTCAGTGCCGTCCATGTCCATCTCCTGCTGGCGGCATGCCCATGCGGCATCGATGGCCGCCCCCATGGCCTCCCTGGTGGCCGCTGAGAGGGGCACCGACTGCACAGGGGTGCCGGGCAGGACCACCTCGATGGCCAGCTGTGGCAGGGCAGACCCACTCCTGAACCGCAGGCACAGAGGCGTGTCGGGATGGGCTCGGCCGAGTGCCTCCAGCTGCTGGTAGAAGTGGAGAATCAGATGCCCCCTCTGCACCGGCGACACACGAGGGCCGCGACTGGCCGTGTGGCCCGTCGGCGGCGTAGCCGGGCCCTCCCGCAGCCAACTGGGGGCCTCGATGTCCGGCGAGGGATTGCGGTCGAATCGGCCGCCTCTGCGGGGCCGCGGTCGGTTGGTGTCACGGCGAGCCGTAGGGTGCAGAGGCACACCGCCCCCCACACCACCGTCACGCAGCTGAGGGGCCCGTCGCTGCCTGCCGGGCAGAGAATCGTCGCCATCGTCGGCACTTCTCCAGTCAGCCGGGTCGCCATGCCTCTCCGCCCCGCCCTTTGACGTGTGCACTCGCTCCATCTTCTGTCTGTGTGCAATGGCGGCGTCTTTGGCCTCCTCGAAGCCAAGCTCCTTGACGGAGAAGGACTTGGTCTTCCTCCTGCCCCCCACCTGCCAGCTGGCCTTCCATGAGTTGTTTACCTCGTGGTAGTGGACACCCTTGACGCCGCTCTGATGTTCCAATCGCCCCCTGACCGCTGCCTGCCCTGTGTGCTCCATCTCACGACGATGCTGCTCGGCCAACGCCTGAAGCCAAGGGAGAGAAAAAACAAGGTGGACGGCGCCCCTCGGCTTATTCCCACCTTTGCTTTGTCGAATCCGTGATGTTTCATGTAGAAGAACTTGTGCTTCTGCTTGCCGTCACCCTTGTCGTACCAAGATGCCGCCCAATACTGGTACTGCTCAGACCAGTAAACCCCCGGCACGTCGGACCGGTGCTCTCCACGTTTGCGGATAACGGTCCTGCCCTTGCCGACCTCGGCTGTCTTGCCGCCCTTGCGCTTCCGCGGCTCCTTCTTGGCCTTCTTGGCCCACAAACCTAAGCGAAAACAACACAGGCGCCCACAATGGATGGGTGCTCGACGGTAGGAATGGTGTGGCTGTCTACCTTTGTCATCGGGAGGCTCATTGTGAGGTGGGTCAGCTGAGCCACCACCACCACCAGCAGCAGCACCAGCAGCAGCAGCGAGGGTCACGGACGAGGGACCGGGGGCACCGACGGGCGGTGAATCATTGACACGGGGAGGGACACTACTCAGTCCTGCACACATGAAAAGACCCCCCCCCCAACGATACACGTAAGTCCCCCAGCCTCCCTTGTTCCCCCTCTCCATCCTTACCTGCAGCAGATTTCCACTGTGTGACGGTCCGCTCGAGGCCATCGATTGCGTCAGACACACTCTCAAAGCGCTCGTCACTGTCTGCCGTGCCGTTGTGGACGGCCACCAGCAGGTCGCTCAGCATGCTCATGTCCCACCCCCTCCCTATGTGGTCACGAGTGACAACCGCCTGCACCCACACCGGCGGCCGGTCGGTCCCTCCCCCCTCCCCTCGCCAGGCCGTCACCATAAAGCGTTTTCCGTCCCCCTCGTCGGCCACTCTGAACGCAAAACCCTCGTATTCGGGCAGAAAATCGCGGTCGTCGGGCGTCCGCATCTTGTCCAGCACCTTCAGCAGGTGGATCGGTCTGGGTCGGCCCACCGAGGTGCCTGAGGTCCCCTCCCTGTGGTGGGCAAGTGCTGGAGTGCCCTGTCGGGCTGATGAGCCGCCCTCGTGCTTCCTCTTGCGACCACGGGGCGGTGTGTGATGTCCTGCTGAGGTGGTGATGTCCTGTAGTGGTGCTGCCGGCCGGTGTGCGGGTGGCGGTGGTAAGGGGGGGACGAGGTCTGGAAGGGGGGGTGGGTGCGTCTGCTCGCCTATCGTCAGAGGAAAGGCTGACTGGCCCTCATCGTCTCGGACAGCCGCTGTCGCACCATTCTGCCGCGACTGGCTTGCCGACGCCGCATCAGGAAACGGTCGAGAGCCCGTTTCTCGCTGCTGTGCTGCGGTGCCGTCTAAGTATGGGAGGGGCACGTCAGTGGAATGAAGAGACGGATTGTTGTGCTGACTCGTCCTCATGGCTGGTGCGGCGTTTAAAGGCGGACCAGGAATCGCCAAGGACGCTTGCATTGCTGGCGCCGCCCGAGAGCCGTCCTCACCAGGCGTAGACCTGTCGGCGTCATAAATCGACGGCACCATTCACGTCGCTGCGGCTGGACGATTCAGCCGTCACTTTTGCTGCTGCCGTCGCTTCAGCTTGCTCATGGGCCCCTCCCTTGGCGCCGTCAGGGGCACAGATAACGGTAGATGCGGTGTCTGACTTCCACTCCATGAAGCGGCAGACAGCAAAACCGCCAGATCTTTGTTCAATTGTAGGAGATCTGCGGAAGAGGAAGACATTATGCCGCTGGCGAGGTCGTAAAGCGCCTCAATCCCGCCCCGGAAGGAATCTTCTGCGAGCTCGGAAAAAAAGAGGAAGGTGTGCAGATCTGCAGATCTTTGCGCCTCTTTGCAGCCGCAGCGATGGTGGAGTACTCCATTATCTTGCCGACGTACAATGAGCGCGACAACCTGCCGCTGATCATCTGGCTGATTGTGGGTGAGCTGCAGAAGGCGGGCATCGGCGATTGGGAGGTGGTGGTGGTGGTGGTGGTGGACGACAGCAGCCCTGACGGCACGGCAGACGTCTGCAGACAGCTGCAGCGCATCTACGGCGACAGACACATCCGGCTGCATGAGCGGCCCGGCAAGCTGGGCCTCGGCACGGCCTACCGCAGCGGCCTGGAGGTCGCAAAGGGCGCCTTCATCCTCCTGATGGACGCCGATCTGTCGCACCACCCCAAGTTCATCCCCCAGTTCATCGCCATCCAGCGGACCACACAGGCCGACATCGTGACGGGAACGCGCTACAAGGGGAGGGGCGGCGGTGTGTACGGCTGGGACATGCGGCGCATCCTGACCAGCCGTGTGGCCAACTACCTGGCGCAGGTGATGCTCAGCCCCGGTGTGTCGGACCTCACGGGCTCCTTTCGGCTCTATCGACGGGCGGTGTTCGAGGAGGTCATCTCGCGTGTGGTCAGCAGGGGCTATGTGTTCCAGATGGAACTCATCACGAGGGCCACCAAGATGGGCTACACAGTGGCCGAGTGCCCCATCACCTTCGTCGACCGCATCTATGGCTCGTCCAAGCTGGGGGCGGGGGAGGTCATGCAGTACCTCAGAGGGCTCATGCTGCTCTTCTGGACGCTGTGAGTTGTCTGTCACCGACTGAGGGAGGCAGCCAGCTGGGGAGGGACGTCGTACTGTGGGCATAGTGCGCGTGTGTACAGCATAGATGGCCTTGCTTTGGAGTATGTTGTGCATTCAGACCTGTTGTCGAATGACTGTGTTGCTTTGTACCTTTCTGAGCGTGATCGGGATGTCGGGCTGCGATGTCTTGGCGTTCATCGCAGCCCCGCCTCACGATGACGCTCAGAGAGGCAGACGGCAATGCACTCAATTCCCTTGGATGTGTCTCGTGTGTGCATATGAATTAGACTATCGTGGTCATTCGTTTGACTATCGCGGTGTTGACGCTCAAATCGGTCGACACAGCATCATGATCGAAGGATGAAACGACTCGGCTTTCAACCATGTGGCCCGTGTCTCAGTCAGTCGTGTCATACCAACCAACGTTTGTACATATGGATGGAACCACGACACCATCACATATTCCCCCCCCCTCCCCCCCTCCCTCCCTCTCTCTCTGTGCCTTTCATGTCCCTCTCCTCCGCAACACAAGACAACACGATCACACCACAGCCAATGCAGCTAGATGTGCAAGAGAAGAAAGAAGAAGAAAAGGAAGCGAAGAGTAAGCGGGGAGACATTGCAATGCATGGGCATCATGCATTGCAATGCATGAGCCTTGCAGAGCTCCGGCAGAGGACAAACAGACGGCCAGACGGACAGACGGCTATACCTTGGGAAGCTGAGCGAAAAGCAGCGGAGCAGCGCAGCGCCTCCTCTCTTATCATATCTTTCTCGTGTGAGATTCGGCCCGCCCGCCTGCCTGCCTGGCTGCCTGCACTCCCCCATCCACCCCTTCCTCCCTCCCTCCCCCCCTCCATCCATCCATCCATCCATTCATTCATTCAGGTAGCTGCCTTCAACATCACAACGCGCCACACACACGAACCCACACATATGCACAGACCTCCCCTCCCCTCCCTCCCGCCTTGCCTCCCTGCCTGTATCATATCATGATGGTATACTATCGAAATTCGCTATCTAGGACGACCGCTTGTGGCGGAAGTCGTACCGCGGTGTGGCGGGGGGATCGCCCAGCCGCGTCTTGCCCCGCTTCGACGGCGACGGCGTGCGGCACGACGACCGTGCGCCGGCAGAGGGGGTGGCAGCGCCGAACTGGGGCGTCTTGCTGCCCTCGTCGGCACCATCACCACCCCCCATGCTCATGCGGATCACGCCGGCCCGCTGCTGGGTGAGCCGGCGGAGCTTCTTGAGCTGCCGCTGGGGCGTGGCGTCGCTCTCGCGGCCCCCCTCTCCCTCCTCTTCATCCCCGGCCACGACCACCTCGTCCCCCTCCACCTCACGTGTCTTGCCCATCCCACCTCCCGTGCCCTTCGCCTTGCTCTTGGCCTTCTTGCTCCGATCATTCGCCACCTCGTCCACGCCTTCGATGTCCTCTGACAGGTCCATCGGGCACGGACCCTCATCGTCCTCATCGGCAGCGGCACTACTGGTCTTGTCGGCCACCTTGCGCTTGCCCCCGCCATTCTTGCGTGGGGGTGGCGATGCGGGCCGCATGTGGTTGTTGTTGTTGTTGTGGCGGCGGAGGCGGGGAGAGGGTGAGCGGCCGCGCTTCGGTGTGTGTGTGGATACGACGGGGGTGCCTGGGGGAGTGCCGTTGGCTGGTGGGGGTGGGGGTGAGGGTGAGGGTGGGGGTGGGTTGATGATACCGTCCATTGGGAGGTACTCGAAATCCTCCGGGAGCGATAGCTGCATTCAATATGAAAGAGAGCAGAAAAAAGAGATGTCCTGTGTTGGGTAGGGGGGGTGTTTGTTGTGTGCGTGCCGTGCCGTGTGAGGTTACCTGTAGAATATCGTCCATGTCCCAGTTCTTGTGCTTTGTGGCGGGGTGGATGATCTCGTCGTACAGCGAAGTCAACTTGTCCAACTCCTGATGACCATTCCACACACACACACACACACACATGTACCCAATGCACCGCCTTGATGTGAGGCGTGTGTCTCTGTTCGTGTGAGTGTTGTGTTGTCTTGTATTCTGACCTTGGTCAACGTCGGCGGCTCTGGCAGCCCCGTGAAGCGGACATAGCGCTTGGCCACCGCCCCTGACCCCTTGCCCCTGACACACACACAAAAACAGAACACACACACACACACACAGAGAGGGTGCAGGTCAGGTGTTTGCACATGTTCGGCTCGTCCATGCCATATGTGTCTGAGGTACGTACGTACCTGTATTTCTTGAGGGCGTCCATGTCATGTGGGGCGTCGCCAATGGTGATGGCCATGTCCAGGGGCCGCATCTTGCCGATCTCGCGCGCAAACGTGTATATCTGCGCACACCACACCCCACACCCAACAACACACAAAATGGACATACTCCCTCTCTCCGCCTCTCTCCTTGCCCCCTCCCCCTCTTGTGGTGTGGTGTGTGTGTGGTGATCTGACCTTCCACAGATCCGATCGGTTTGGGTAGTCTTTGCTGAAGGCCTCGCGCGACGACACTACTCGGACGGTGTTGTTCTCCATGACCTTCTGCAGCAGCGGCATGAACCCAGCCGACAACCTCACCCACGCCTGATCCCCACAACGCAACAAAGCACACAACGGATGGATGGATGGATGGTGTCTCTCTGTGTGTGTGTCTCTCTCTGGTCGGTTGGCGCGTCATGCGGGCGTACCGTCTCGCCATTGGTTATGACTATGACTTTCCCCTCGGCCACGGCCCTCTCCATGGCCTTGCTGGCCGCCGCGTCCAGTGCCGCCATCTGCTGGCCCGCCTTCTTGAAAAACGCCTTCAGGGCCTTGCGAATCGCGCTCTCCTCACCACCATGCTGCACACACCACACAACACACCCACCCACCCATCTCATCACCCACCCACCAGTGCAAACATCTCCCCAGTACAATGCAGACGGCAGATCTGCCATTTTCTCACCGAGAGCGGCCCCGTCATGATGGCCGTGGTGGCGAAGAGGGTGTCGTCCCAGTCGAAAATGGTCAGCCGCGCCACTTGCCGCGCCACGGCTGGGATGCTGCTGCCTTTTTGGTCACTGGCTGGGCACGGCGGGGCAAGGTGCGCGTCGGCGGCCTTATCTTCAAGACTGGCGGCGGTCGGCATGGTCCTTTGCCGCCACTGGCTTTGCCGGGCGATGTCGATACTATGGTGTCGATACGATGGCAATGGGTGGGCGGGAGGCCTTCAGAAGGGCATGGGCTGACTATACTGGACAGGCATGCTCACAGAGAGGGCACACACGCGCAGAACAAAACTACGGCGGGATCTCGCGATCGAGACAATCTACTAGCTCGCATTCGTCGCCCCCCAGTCCATCCATCCATCCGTGCCCAAACCGATGGATGGATGGATGGATGGATGGATGGATGGATGGATGGATACCAGTCGACGGACAATCGCATCACATACCTCATTTTACAGTCGTCCTTTGAAGTGCGTCTCTCAGACTGCAAGCATGTGTCCATCTGTCCGTTTCTTTTTCCCTCTCTCTCACCATCAGCACCAGCCTCGAGGTCGATGTGATCCTTCCCCTTTCTTGATCATGAATGCACTGTGATCGATCAGTGCGTGTGACATACATTTCATGATTGTTCAGTTTGTCAGTCCATTGGCTGTCTGTCTGTCAGCGATTTCATTCCTGTCGCATGTCGCGGTGTGTCGGTCTGTGTGTTGGTTGGTCGGTCAGTGGCGGTTTCGCTCAGGCGACCTGCACCTGCCGGCCGGTCACTCTGTCGACGCGTGGGAACACAGTGCCGTACCCAAATCGACGCTTCTGGCTCGCTGACACACACACACACACACACACACACAGACAGAGGGAGAGACGATCCGCTCATTCATTCTAACATCCACAGAGTCAGGTTTTAGCGCTGACTGGGGAGGGGCAGCGGGACGAGCACTTTGTCAATGTCTTCGCCCAGCACTGCCACAAAACACACACACACATGGATGCCCCCATCCACCCATCCATCTCCTTCTCGTGTGCACACGAGTGGATGACCTTGGATGATGTTCTCGACGATGCCCATGTCGTATGGATTGGGACGCTGACCCTCTCTGCGGCGCTTCTCACCTACACACATCCATCCATCCATCCATGAGACAGACATACACACCGATGTCAACTGATGTGTGTGTCGGTCGTTGTTGTAGGTACAGAATTCGATGGTTGTCATGTTGTGGGAGATGAGCCAGCAGTGGAAGAGGAAGAACCCGCCAACCACCAACGTCAGAATGTACGACAGCACAATCCCAAACAGCACGATGATCAACGTCCCTGCAGTCCGACACGAGAGACATCATCTACATGCCTCACTGACTGTTTCCCTGTCTCGCTCACCGTATGTGCTCATAGGGTCCTCGGCGTAGACGGCAAATCTCGGCGTGAGTGTGAAATCGACCATCAGCAGCACGCACACAGCGTACTGAGAAGAGACACGACAACAAGGTGCCAATCGTCCCTCCGTCCCTCTCTGCGTTCCCTCCCTCTCACCAGCAGAGACAGGAAGAAGTACTTCTGATGGATGCATGCATGAAACACACACACACATGCAATGCAATGCATGTGTGGTTGGTCCTTTACTGTGTGTTTCGTGCCTGGTTTCTGAATCCCACGCAGTTGGCGATCCACTGCAGACAGACACATGGCACACGGAGGGACAAGTTCACCGGTCCATCTGGAACTGATCTGTGTGAGATCAAACCGGGCAGTAGTGGTCCATCTTGAGGATGTTGCAGCCGAGAGGACGGCAGTAGTGCGCCCTGTCTGATGAATGGACAACATGCCAACCGACATACAAGTGACCTGTGCACACATTCATTCACCCACCCACCCACACCTGGTTTGAAGAGCTTCTCGTATTTGCAGAATCGTTTGTCGCCGTTCTCCTTGCGCTCCATCACGAGCTCGTCTGCCGGCTCTGTCGACCACTGGCGGCTGGGAATGAAGCCGGCGTCCTCCAACACGGCACGGGCGTACGACCACACAAACATCCCTAACAGAAAGTGCAGCACAACCGACTCAATCCAGCCCTCTGCACATCAGAAGGAGAAACAGAGAGAGAGACCTCCATCAGAATGGTCATCACGATGTGTGGTTTCCTATTACGCGTCTCGATGTCGTGGTTGCGGATCTTGGCGGGCAACGCAAGCTGCAGCAGCGGCAAGATGCGATAGCTGAAACAACACACACTCACATGTCTCCCTCCCTCTCTGCCATTCTCTCTGGCATGGTGGGTGGACTGAGTCCACTGACAGCATGTGTGCGACGTAGATGATTCCGAAGAGGAAGGCGATGAACACAACCGGCGAGTACTTGACGAACGACTGACCCAAGGAACGAACAGAGACATGAGCAGCCAAGCAGCAACCAAGTGCTCTGCTCCCTCTGTCTCCCTGTCCAGCAGTCAGAGTGTGCATACAGTACCTGCTGTCGGGTGAGGTCTGCGAGGAGCAGAGGGTGCTCACGGTCTGACTCACGGACGGGCTCCTTTATCACCTCCCTGCTCTCCATCGCTCGCTCGTGCCGGTCACTCACTGTCGCTTGCCGTCACTCGCTCACTCAAACACACACACAGTGTGCCGAGTGCTTTGCGTCGCTCGGCCTCTCTGATTGTGTCTTCATGTACACGTTTTGTATACATTTGTGTACATGAGAAAGTCACATTCACTAAATGAATGTCAATCAAGACAGTTCTCTTGCCGTTTTATTGGCCACTCGAGTGCAGTGAGCCACTCAGTCGCCTTCGCTTTCTATCTCATTCATGCCTTCACCTTCGTCCACGCCTTCACCGACTTGTTCTTCCTCTGGCGGCTTCTCCTCGTCGGGAGCCGTCTCTTGTTGGGTGGCACTGACATTCTCTTGTGCTGCCTCTTGTTGCATGGCCTCGCGTGCCTCCCTCTTTTTCCTGCGCCACTCTTCTGTGGCTGTCACGGCCTCCTTACGCAACAGCACGAGCTTCTGGACCCGTCTGCACACACATGCGGAGGGGTGTCTCCGCCATCATCAATGTGCGCCCTTGCCGTACCCCTGTGTGGATGGCTCCATGGCGAGAACTTCTTGGTCTTTCTCCTCGGCTCGGTGAGCTTGCTCCATCTGTCGGATCTCCTCCAGCCGTGCCTTCCAGTCATGCTGCAGCTTCTGCACAACAAATCAGACGACGATGTGTCACTTAGGTGCCATGTTATGAGCGTACCTCTATCGTGTCTTCGTTGAGAGGCTTTTCCACCTGCAGACACGCGCGGGCAGGCCCTCGCTGACGCCCAGCTCCGTGGCTGTCACACATGCTCACCTCTTTCTTGAGGTATTGCGCCTTGATAAGCAGATCATTCTCCATCTCACTCTCATAGTCAGACATGTTCTCGAGAACCCTTTTGTGCAGGTCTTGCAGCAGCCGCAGCTGCATGTTCGTGCGTTGCTTCTCCCACTGATGCAGCCGACAAACACACCATGCAGCTGAATTCTAGCCCAGCACTTACAATCAGTCACCTTGCAATCAGTCTCGTACAGCATTCCTGGCCAAGGTTCGGCATTGGTGCAATCAATGGCGTCTTCTTCTTGATCTATTTCACTCACTTGTGTGGTCGATCAGATCCTTGACGGAGGCATCAGTCATCCTTTTCTGCAAGCAGACACGTGTGTCAGCATCAGTCAGGAGTACACCAGCTGCACCTACCATGAGCATCCCTTTCAGATGCGGAGTGGCACGGGCCCCGTCGACTCGCTTGAGCTTTTCGTTGGTCGACAGGAGGAGGAGGGCGTAGTCCTTGGCTCGTTTCTGCGTACGGGGAGACAGTGCGCTGGCAGACGTCATGTAGCCCGTCGTCTGTCTACATACATTGACGAAGGGGTTCGCCCCCATGAAGATGTCAGCCTGAGAATGGAACAAACAGTCGGAAGAGTGGCTGCTCGGCGCTTCAGACCAGGTGTGTGTCTCGTTCTACCAACTTTGGCGCGACCCTTGGGAGGAAGTGATACAACACCAGATACTGGTCCTGTCAACACGAAAGAGGCAGTGGAGCCCCGTAGGTTACCTTTCTGCCAGCATCTCACCTCCTGAATTGCGTTCGCTGAAATGTCGAGTGCCTGTAACGCTAGAAAAGCTGTTTCGGCACTGGTGAGCGCCCGAAGGTCCTGCATGTGTGTTGCCCACAAGACCACCGCAATGAACGGCACATCGCATCCTCCACTAGCGCTGACCTCGATCTTGTTTCCTTGTAGAAATAGGTGTGTGAGCGAGGGGTGACCCTCGAGTCCTCCAATGTCGCGCAGCGCATTGAAGGAACAGTTCTGTCCCACACACAATGGGAGCATCAGCTGTCACTGGAAGACACAAAGGTTGACCTTACCAGCGACTGAAGCTCAGAAAGCGACTGCAGCTTGAGGGGTGCGAGAGTCGCCAGCCGATTGAAGCTGATGTCCTGCAGTGAGGGCACGGAAATGAGAGCCACCAGGAGACAGATGGAGCCCATACGAGCTCACCATCTCCGTCAGCTTGGAAGACGCAGGGAGTGCGCTGCCGTTTTTGATCATGTTGTGGGATATGTTGAGATGTGTGACCTGCTCCGGCACCGCCGCTCCATCCAGGAAGCTGCAAACACACACGACCGGCCCATCCACCCGGACACTCGCACACGGTCTGTACACCTGATGAAGTTCATTGAAAGATCCACATGCTGCACACTGGGGAGGGCCTGAAGCGACGGCATCTCCTTCAGCCGGTTGTTGCCCACCTCCAGTCTTGTCACAGCTGTGAGATCAGTCAGCTTCTTAAGCACCAAGCCGAGGTCATGAATTTGCATCATGCGACACCGTGCAGTCGACGCATCCATGGATACCATCTGTGGTGGTTTTCTGCCCGAGCTCGCCATATGGCCAGGCCCCCAGTCTAAAAGCTCGCAAAAGGAAGCCTGGCGAGGGTGCTCCCTGAAACCGCTGCGTGCGAAGCCTGGCGAACTTCTGGTGAAAGTGCTCGACATCGAAGTCTGGTGCTCCCTCTCCCCTTCATTAAAGTCGTCGAGCCAACATGACGCGCAACGTGTTGAAAAAAGGTACGCGAGCAGCCGACGTGCGGATTGCCTTACTGCATGCTCTGTGTGGTGGCTGCAGGTGCCCGTATCATGAAGCATGCCACCAAGAAGGCTCAACAGCAGCAGCAAGGGCCGTATCCGTCACAGGGAGCTTTCTCGTGGTTCGGTCAAGGACAACAGGCCAAGCAACAACAGCAACAGCAAGGCCAGTACGCGCCGCAGCAGTATCAGAATCAGCCTCCCGCCCAGTACCAGAGGCCAGGCATCTTCGGCGCTATCATGGATGGGATGGCGCATGGTTTGGGGTGGGGGATGGGCATGCGGCTGATGGACTCCTTCCTTGGTCCGCGCCAGATGGAGGTCCATCACACGCATGAGGACCCCTCACAGGCCTCCCAGCCTCCCCCTCCCTCCCAGGGCAGTGAGTCCGACGCGCAGCAGAACCCCGCTGACTCCGGCTGGTCCTGGGGGGATGATCCCAATCAGGCCTTTCGATGGCCTGGTCAGGACGACAATGGTCAGGATGATGGGGGGGACGGGTGGGGCGGGGATGATGGCGGCGGCTGGGGAGGAGACTGGTAGAGGTGATTTTTCACTCCAAGCGAGTGAGGGGAGGGGGTGGGTCGTGCTGCACGACTTTTTTCTCGGGTGTCGGTTTCTGGTGCTGTGCTTCCGCCGTGTGTCAAATCAATGGGAGGATAAGGGATACGAGCGAGCTCGTTTGTCGTGCCATGCGATGCTTCTTTTTCGTCTCTGTGCGTCTGTGGTTTGGTACCAGTGTACGTGTATGTCTTGTGTTGACCTACTTGCACTTGCGGCCAAGCTGCTTGATGGGACAGGAAGGTGTGTCAACACCATGACCTCACTGACCATGAATTCATGAATGCACCATCCATCCATCCATCCATCCATCCGACAGTCAGTCAGTCAGTCCTCTTCCTCCCCGCCCGACGGGCTATCCATGTTGAGATTGTCGCGCACAAAGGCCTCGGCGGCCGCCATGTCGCTCATATCTGAACCATTGCAATCAATCAATACACACAACACAACACCCTGACACTCAGACACTGACAACCAGCCGCCCGCTTCCGCATCTCCTTACCGACAGAAAACAGCGCATTGACTTGCTTCCCTTGAGCGGCGGCACTCGCACTGGCGGCGGCAGCAGCTGCGGCAGGAGGGCTCGCTTCTTGCGGTACCGCTGGCGCCTCGCCTGCCCCTCTCCCATCAGAAGTAGACTCTCCCTGCTCGGCCGCCGTCATCTCCAGGTCAGCTCCTTCCTGCTGGACCGGTCCGTCAAGGACAGCGAAGGGCTCGGGCGGTGGTGGCTCCATCTGCTGGGTCCTATCTGCCAAGGCAGCGGCCGCCCCCATCGGCTGGTCGAACGCTGAGGCTGCGGCAGCTGCCGCGGCTGCCGCGGCAGCTGCAGCCGGGGGCTCCTCCATGGCCGACGCCTCTCCATAGCCATTCATGCCTTCCTGATCGGCAGGCGCCTCACCAGTGTCGACATACTCGTGCAGCGCCTCCCTCAGGGACTCGCCGTAGGCCTGGAGGAAGATGCCCTCATCGCTCTCACGGCCAATGGACCCACCGCCAACTCTTGCCAGCAGCTTCCGTTTCAGCGCACGAGCCGCAGCAGCCACTCTCCCGCCGTCAGTTGCCGTCGCCTCCGTGACATTCAGTAGGCCGATGGATGCGTGGAGGGTCGCACTGGGGAGGGGAGAGGGGCCGAGGAGAGATGCCTCCATCAGCCGCAGCACCGCCAGCACGGCTGACGGCCGGCCGCAGAGGACGGCCGTGGCGGGGCTCTTCTTGAGCGTCTCGGGCTGCTGGCCGTGGAATAGCACACCGATGGCGAGCTCTTCAGCTTGCGCCTTCTCGGTGGCTCCTAGGAAGCTCCCCACGCCGGTCAGAAGAGCCGTCAGTGAGCCGCAGAGATCTACAAAGACCTTTGCAAAAGCGATCCGCATCTCCGGAACGGCCATCTCTTGCGTCTTGTGCGCTCTGATCAGCCCCACGGCATCCTGGTCCCCCGCCGACTCTCCCCATGACCCATAGTCCGACAGACCGCCGCCTCTGGACCTCCCGCGGCGTCGCTTCGTCGCCCTCCCACCCGCAATGGATGAGAGCTCGCTAGTGTCGGCGGTATACTCGGCCTCTGAGACGTGTGCCGAGTGTGCAGCCATCCGGCAGAGGGAGGGGAAGGTCGACGGGGTGAGCATGTGGCTGATGGCGGCGACTGCCCACTCGAAGGGTGTCTTCCATGTGTTGGAGGCTATGAGGGCGGCGGGGATGGCTGATGCGAGGGTTAATAGGTAGCTGTGGATGGGGGATGAGAAGGCGAAGGCGTGGAGGGCCGCCATGGAGTCGCTCTCGAAACTGACAAGGGAGGGCGGCACATCAAGATGCAAGAAACGGGTACTGTGGCTTGGCTTGGCTTGGCTTGTGTGTATGATGGTGTGCCTACCTGCACAGCTCGTCCAGTATGGTGATGAAGTGCTGGCTGTAGACCGAAACAGCCCCGCTGCCGAGCCTGAATTCAAAACAACATACAGCCACAACAGGTGCAGAAGAGAGTCTCTCGTCTGCACCCTCCTGTCTTCCCTTACACATTTAGTATGGCCACCGGGACCTCCAATGCTGCCCCCATCAGCACAACACACCTCTGGTCGACCACCGACGCTGCACCATCCCCCTCACCGCCCCCCATCCCGCCTCCCCTGCTGACACCCACGGCCACACGAACAACTTGCAGCAGCTCGCGCACGGGTATGACAACGATGCTGTGTGTGGCGGGGCTCAGCTCAACAGTGCCCAGCCCCTGGCGCATCCTGCCGCCTGCCGAGTGGAGAATGAGGGCTGTGAGCAGCTGGAAGAGGCGGGTGGCGCGGTGCCACAGGGCGGCCGCTGTCGTGTTGCCCGACACACTGCCATCCTTGAGGAGACCCAGCACTGCACACACGATGAACAGACTCATCAGGTTATATTGCTTTGATGGTACGGTGCGTCCACCGCCTGCCTGTGTGTGTGTGTCTTGCCTGCATTAAGGTCATTGGTGGTTTGAGCAAGGAGGTGCTCACTGAACGCCGGACCCATCTTGCCTTCGTCAGAGGATGCAGCCGCAGCTGCTGCTGCTTGTGGTCCGTCGGTCTTGGGCGCCCTCTTGCTGCTGGCGATCCAGCTCAGCCGACATAGTGAGCAGCGCGACAACTGAACGAACCAATCGGTGAACGACACACACAGAACACCACGTCATGAGAATTGGCATTGTAACCGCAGCCACTCTATGGTGCTTTCGTCCTCATTCACCTCTGCGAGGGTGTCGTCGTCGTGCTGTGAGACCTTGAGGAAGAAGGCACGCAGCCGGCCTCCAGAACAACGAGACGAGAAGAGAGGCAGGTCTCAACGTGGAGATCAGGTGGACAGCCTTACCCATGAGCTGGTAGAGAGGGAAGGAAGACCGGAAGAGCACTGATGACAAACCACGGCAGCCACGCTCCTAGACACACACACGAACATGTTACCAGCGTTCGTCTGTCGTCGGTTGGTCGCCTCGCCTCACCAGGATCGTCGGCACAGCTGCGTGGCGGTCAATGGCGTCAAGGACGGCCATGAGGTTTCGGGTGCTTGATGCCGCCCCCTCACGGACGAGGCGATGGCGCGTGTCGACGGGCAGTCGCTCGCACAGATGAAACACGCCCACAGACGCCTCGATGGCGGCCAATGTGGACACCCAGTCTCCCTCCTGCAGACAGACACATAAGTGACACGCACAGGCATTCATCGAAATCACACAATCGTCACACACAGACCTTCTTGAGTGTTGCCGAGAGCGTCTGCAGCCACCCTTCGATGCACTCGGGCGTCAGCGCCTTCCCCATGAGAGCCTCGACATCCACCAGCCCGCCTCCCAGCGCCGCCAGCAGGCTGCAGCCAACCATCACTTTGTCGCCGTCATGTGCTCTCAGCAGCTGCGTGAGCCCCTTGGCGAGATCTGTCTGCCGATTCGCCTTGGATGAGTCACAGTAGGCAAACAGCGCCGCAGAGATGGTCTGCGGCGACAGCTTGGGAAAGGAGGCCGTGAGGTCGGCTGTGAGCTTCTCCATTATCCGCACCAGGACGCTGGAGCTGCAGGGTTTGAAATCCGAAAGGGTTTGAAACCAGAAACCCAGACCATCAAACCCTTCCCCTCCATTTCCCCTCTCCCTCCCTCCCCGTCTTGTCCCTCCCTCCCTCTCTCATCTCCCCTCCCCTCCCTTCTTCGGTCGGTGCTGATACCTCCTTCCTCACGGTACTTCCTTCAGCGAAACCTCCGCCAAATCAACCAGATCTTCGTCCGCCACGTCATGACCCAAAGCGACCACACCATGAACGTAGTCCCCGCCACTGCACCGGCATACGAAGTGCAGCCGGTTGTTGTCGGCCAGCCGCTGGAAGCGACAAACACAGCTGGGAAGCCGGAGGGCGGTGATCAGCCGCAGTACGTTCAGCAGCCGCAGTACGTCCAGCCACAGGCTATTCCGGCACAGTATGGGGGTGGTGCACACGTCATTCACGTCCCGCAGGCAGTGGTGGTGGATCGCCGATACGACGATGAGGCGTGTATGCTCGGCTGCGCACAGGTGGGTGACTTATCTGGACGAGCAGGCAGGCAGGGAGAAACAGCCAGTCAGTCAGTCAGTCGCCCATACGTTGCCCTCCCCGTGTGTGTGGTATGTTGATGTCAGGTGTCGTGCATTCTGTCGATATTCTTCCCCATCGTCGGGTGCATTGCCTTCTGCTTCAACATGGACGCCCCGGAGGGGTCGGAGAGGCGCAAGTGGGCCTGGCGCTGCCTCATCTCGGCCAGCGTCACGCTCATCCTGGTGCTCATCATTGTTATCATCCAAGTCGCCATGGTGTCCAGTGCTGCCTCTCAATACAATTCTGACTACTAACTCATCGGGCTGTCGAGAGCGCAGTCATCTTTAGTTATTTTCCTAGGTCCGAATGCGATGCGATGTGTGCGTGAGGTCTCGATCTGTGTGGGTCGATTCTGTCCCTTTCATGACGCTGTGTGTCGGTTGTGGGTGTGAGTGGTGTATGTGTGTGTTTGAAGACGACTTGACTCGCCTTGTGCACTGCAGCCAACCGTGACGGCATATATCGGCGGTTCTGTCTGTCGAGTGATTGCCGTGGCTGGCCAGTGTAGTGGGTCTCATTATTCACTGGATTTGACGGTTGCGGCCCAACTTGGGCACCTCCGTCCAGTCCAGCCAGAATTGCATGGGGTGTGTTGTGTTTTCTCTAGTGACTTTTCGGGGAGGGAGTTGTGGTCGTCGGCGTGGGTGTGCGGTGCGGTGCGGTCTGCCTGACTGTCTTCTCTGCGCCCCTTCACTCCCTGCCGCCATACCTGCCCTGCACTCATCTCTGTCTTGGTGTTGGTGCTGGTGCTGAGGCCGTGCCGTATGTGTGTGCGACTGATCTCATCGGTCCATTTGCATTGGCTGGCGGAGACACGAATGCCGGGCGAATAGACATACTGTACATATGTGCCTATCGGCCGGCCTGCTTCTGCCCTCTTGCGTGTTGCGTGTTGCGTGTTGCGTGTTGCGTGTTGCGTGTTACGTGTTGGTGAGACTTGTTTGTTTGATTGAAGCGGGCATTTCATTGCAGACAGCATCCCCACCAGCCATGGGCGTCCATGCCATGAGTCAACCGTCTCATGCACACAGCCACGCGGCCGCACACCCACCACATGGCCGTTAGTATCCATATTATCACTCGCTCCATCACACGGCGTTCCGGCAGCGTGTGCGCGAATCCACCGCATCACATCTTCTTGTCTCCTGTCTGTCTGTCTGTCTATCAGTTTGTATGTCCATGCCATGTGCCACTCACTGCTTCAATCCCGACATGTGTCTGTCAAGACAAAACGAACAGAAACATAGATACCCCACCCCGTGCCGAACCGGTCAACTCAGCCGTGAGTAAAGCCGTATCGTATGCACCGCCACACGGCCAAAAAAGAGGAGAAAAAACAAAGGGAAGTCATCACACACAGGGACCTAGGTCGTTGGCGCCCATGGCCAGCTGCTCGATGGTACGTACACCGATAAACGAACAGCCACACAAGGACGCCAAAAGACACACACACACCAAGGGCAGTCTCTACTGTACCATTGACTTACTGACTCACATCAACATCATCAGCATGCGATGGCCGTCCCACCACTCAAAACACGACACATCGACTCGACGATGCAGACAAGACCTCTCTAGGAACGAGTGATGCTTGCATCCGAACGACCGTGTGCGATAGCTAAAAAGATGAAAAAAGTGCGGGTATGTCTCGCATATGGCCAGAAAAACGAATGTGAGGCACTGACGAATGCATGCAATCCAAAGCATCACCAACCTGGTATCTATCAATGGTCTTTACTTCAAAAAGGCATTCAGGTAAGGCACCACACCGACAGACCGATCCAAGATCCCGGCCAGGCCAGCCGACACCACGAGTAAGCACATACATAAAGGCAACGCAACGCAACGCACCGCACCGCACCGCACCGCACCCAGCTCCATCGACACACCTCAGTCAGTGCGTATGTTATGTTATGAGGCCCCATCGTCAGTCAACCGACACACACACCTTACTCCATGCATCCCCTCTCAAACCTCAGACACACAAAACAGCAGCCTCACCTCCCTCGCCTGCACGAATGAATCATCTCCCCGTCTGTCTGTCATTCATTCATGTGAGCTTCTGCGTGACGAGGCACTCCATCACCCCCGCCTCCTCAAGCGACTGCGCCTGGTCGTCCAGCGGCTTGGGAGGGAAAGCCGCCGACGAGAAGAGCCGGAAGCTGGCCACACCGATGTTGCTCGCCTTGGAGGCCGCCGCGTACAGCTCCTTGACGGCCATGGCGCTGTTGAAGGTCAGCTTCACCTGCTCCCCCGTGTGCAGCCGCAGCGTCACCTGCAATCAATGCCATCACAAAGGGCACCGTTGGCTGTCGCCTGTGTGACTGGGCACACACTGACCTTGGTGGTGGGCTTGTCAGTGTTGATGGGGGGGCTGTAGTCGTGGTCTTTGGCGGTGTTGGGGGCGGGGGGCGGCGGGGCGTGCGAGGGCTCAGATAAAGTGTGGCCGCCACCAGTGAACAGCTGCTGAGGCGCGTACTTCTCAACCAACTGAAACACACACACGCACACACACACAGTTGGCCACATACATTTATGACGTCTGCCTTCACAAATGAGTGTGGTGTGCTGACCATGATGTTCTCGGCAACCTGTCGCATGTCGGGTGATGGGTGGGCCTTGAGCAGCTCCACCAGCTGAACCTTCGTCAGCTCATCGAACGGAATCATCCCGCTCTCCCTCTCGCCATTGCCGTCGCCATGCCCAGCATCCCGTCCTCCGTGCGTCGCCCCATCCACCATGCGACGGGCAGCGGCCGGATCTCGTGCATCGGGCGTCACATCAGGTGTGTGCGGGCCATTGGCTGGCGAGGGGGACTGCGTCTGCGGGACCACATCGGCCGCGTCTCGACTCATGCGCTGCGGCGTCACGTCGATATCGAGCGGCTCATTGCCACTCGGCAGCTGCTCGTCATCTGCCGCCTTGAGCCGCTCGAATATGGCTGATGCCAGCCGGTGGCCCTTCTGGCGCTTGACTCGCCCCCTGTCCACTGCCTGGCCGGTGCGCTCCATCTCGAGACGATGCTGCTCAGCCAACGCCTGAGGCGAAGAGAGAGAGAGAGAGAGAGAGAGAGAAGGAAAACGACTGGTCCATAAGCACCTTTGCTTCAGGCCATGTAGGTCTTGCATACCTTTGCTTTGTCGAAGCCGTGCTCTCCGACTTTGAAGTGCTTTTTCTTCTGCCTGGTGCCGTCCTTCGGATACCATGACGCCGTCCACGCCCGGAATTTCCCATCCCAGGAGACGCCCACGACCTTTGACTGATGCTCGGCACGTCTGCGGATGGCGGCCGTCTTGCCCTTGGTGGCCTCGGCTGTCTTGCTGCCCTTGGGTCTCTGTCGCCTCTCGACGGCGGATGCGCTGCTGCTGGCGGATGGGTCTCTGCAGCGGTGTTTCAGAGACGGACTGCGATTGACAGACTTATCACACTGGCCGCCCTCTTGCCTGTCGCTGCCGAAGAGGGTCGAGTGCCTCTCCTCCATCGCACGGCGGTGCGCGATCGCGGCCTGTTTGGCAGGCTCGTAGCCGAGCTCTTTGACGGAGAAGTCCTTGGTCTTCTTCGTGCCGCCCTCCGACCAGTTGGCAATCCATGCGTTGTGTGCCTTGTCGAAATACACGCCCCGCACGCCGCTCTGATGCTCACATGGTTTCTGCTCCATCACGGCCCGTTTGTGAGGGGTGGCGGCAGCCATAGCAGCCTCGTAGCCCAGCCTGGTGTTCTGCTGATTGGTCTTCTGAAGCTGTCTGATGAATCGACTGGCGGCCTCCTTGATGTCCTCGCCGTCACGCCGCCCAACCATGGCCGGCAGCTCACGGCGCACAAATGAGTCGACGGACGCAAAGCTCAGAGAAGGGACGGCCGCCAGCATCGCCCCAATGTTGTGACCCACTTGACTGTACAGGCGACAGAGGACAATCCGCTGGGCGTGTGTCATGGGCTGCTGGTCCTCAGTGCCGTCAATGTCCATCTCCTGCTGGCGGCATGCCCAAGCGGCATCGATGGCCGCCCCCATGGCCTCCCTGGTGGCCGCTGAGAGGGGCACCGACTGCACTGGGGTGCCGGGCAGGACCACCTCGACGGCCAGCTGGGTCAGGGCACACCCACTCCTGAACCGTAGACACAGAGGCGTATCGGGATGGGCTCGGCCGAGTGCCTCCAGCTGCTGGTAGAAGTGGAGAATCAGATGCCCCCTCTGCACCGGCGACACACGAGTGGCCGTGCAATGCTCCTGCAGCCCACCAGGGGGGCCCTCCCGCAGCCAACTGGGGGCCGGCGTGGGATTGCGGTCAAATCGGCCGTCTCTGCGGGGCCGCGGTCGGTTGGTGTCACGGCGAGCCGTAGGGTGCAGAGGCACACGCCCCCCCACACCACCGTCACGCAGCTGAGGCGCCCGTCGCTGTCTGACGGGCAGAGGATCGTCGCCATCGTCGGCACCTCTCGAGTCAGCCGGGTCGCCATGCCTCTTGGCCCCTCCCTCTGACGTGTGCAATCGCTCCATCTTCCGTCTGTGTGCGATGGCGGCCTTTTTGGCCTCCTCGAACCCAAGCTACTTGACGGAGAAGGACTTGCTCTTCCTCCTGCCCCCCTCCTTCCAGCGGGCCACCCATGAGTTGTATCTCTTGTCGTATCTGACGCTCTTGACGCCGCTCCGGTGTTCCGCCGCTCCGATAGTGGATGGGCTTCTGCTGGCGAGAGCGCGGCGGTGCTTTCGAGGGGGGCTGTGGTCGGATGACTGATCACGAATCGACCCCTCTGGTCTCGATGCATTCCATTGCTGCCCGTCGGCATCGTCTCGGTTTAGGTCCGCCAGCTGAGGCTTTGCCTGCTCCACCAGGCTGGCCGCCAGAGAATTGCCGCCCGCCTCACTCAGCTTCGCCGACACACAGCGCTCCCTCTCGCCGCCCGAGTCCTCACGATGGCGCTTGGCTGCTGGCCGGTTGATGAGCAGCTCGTTCTCGGAGCTGGACGAGTCCGTTCTCAGCCTCTCACTGACACGAGATGACGACCTGCCTCTGTGGCAGCGGCGAGGCTGAATGTGGGGCGGCATGAGGTCATTGTTGTCGAGTGGATGGCCACTGGGGCACTCAGATAGAGACGGGGGCGGCATGGGCTTGGGCCTGGCTCTGCTGCTGCGGTGGCGCGTCCGAGGACGAATGGGGCCGTGGGGGCTGATGTCATCGAGCCAGCTGATGTCCAGGGGTGCAGCGGCCTCTCCCGTACTGACAGTGCTCAGACGGTTGAGCTCCTCGACAGCGCGGCGAAAAGCAGCGATGACGGCCGAACGGGAGCTGAGGTCGACCACCGGGACATCGAGAATGCGGTCCTCGCCATCTTCCCCCTCGGAGGACGGCAGACGGACACGGAAGCTGCCGTCCTGCCAACACAGCTCGCATGACCTGCGCGAAAGAAACCATCCCACACACACATGCACACACGTGACAAATCTGGCCCTTTCTTGTCTTCCCTTGTCTTTCCCTACCCGTCGCTGCTGAGGACCTCGACGAGGGCAGCGGCCAGGTCGCCGCCCTCCATCACACCCACACCTGGCCCGCAGCTGGGGGGCCCGTGGCGGCACGGCGAGTGAATCGCACCATCATCATTGGGGGGACTGCGGGAAAGGCTCTCATCTCCCGGGGTGTCGGCTTTTGACTTATGATGCCGCTGCCGCTGGAGTGGCGTCACATGAGTGGCCGTGCGATGTTCCTGCAGATGACCAGGGGGGCCCTCCCGCAGCCCACCGTGGCTCTCGATGTCAGGCGAGGGCTTGCGGTTGGGTCGGCCGTCTCTTCGGTCCTGGCGCTTGGTGTCAGGGCGAGCAATGGGATCCACAGGAGCAGCGCCCCTCAGACCACCCTGACGCAGCTGAGGCGCCCGTCGCTGTTTGACGGGCAGAGAATCGTCGCCATCGTCGGCACTTCTCGCGTCAGCCGGGTCGCCATCCAGCACCGCCGCTCGCTCGGGCGTGTTGGACTGCCTCTCCAAGATGGCCCGGAGGTAGTTGATGGCGGCGTGTTTGGCCTCCTCGTAGCCAAGCTGCTTGACGGGGAAGCACTTGCTCTTCCTCCTGCCCCCCACCTGCCAAATGGCCACCCAGCGCTTGTTTCTCTCGTCGAAGTTGACGCCCCGCACGCCGCTCTGATGCTTGCATGTCTGTTTGACTGCTGCCCGGCCGCTGCGCTCCATCTCACGACGATGCTGCTCGGCCAAAGCCTGAAGGAAGCCAGGAGCATCACCATCACGTGTGCGGGCTGTGCTCTTTCTTGTCTCTTGCCCCTTAGCTTTGTCGCCGTGCTTCTTGTCTTTAGTACCTTTGCTTTGTCGAAGCCGTGCTCCTTGACGTAGAAATGCTTGTTCTTGGCGTCCCCCCTCTCGCACCAAGTCGCCCTCCACGCTTTGTCCTTTTTCGCCCAGAAGACGCCACGGACGTCTGACTGGTAGCTGCCCTCGCTGGCGTCGGGCATCGGTGCTTCCTCGTGGGCTGGGGCGCAGCTGCCGAGAGGGTGTGTGTGGCGATGCCTCAGCGACGGGCTGCGGTCGACGGACTCGTCACGCCCGTGGCCTCCCTGCTGCACTTCCTCCCCCGCCCTCGCAGAGGAGCGGGGCCTGCGGCCACCACGTTGGTTGGCGGGCTTCCTGGCTGATATGAGACCTGAGAAGGCAACGCAGGGCGGACACGATGAATGAATGTGTGTCGATCGACGATTCGGCTGATATGGTTGTCACCTGCAGGTACCTACCTTTGTCGTCGGGTCGCTCATCGTGAGGTGGGTCGGCTGACCCACCGCCACCAGCAGCAGGAGCAGCGAGGGTCATGGACGAGGGACCGGGGGCACCGGCGGGCGGTGAATCATTGACAGGGGGAGGGACGCCAATCAACCCTGCACATACGAAAAGACAGCAGCACGCACACAATGATGTGCATCAAAGTCCCCCAGCCTCCCTTGTTTCCCCTCTCCAGTCTCTTACCTGCAGCAGGTTGTTTCCACTGTGTGACGGTCCGCTCGAGGCCATCGATGACATCAGACACACTCTCAAAGCGATCGTCACTGTCTGCCGTGCCGTTGTGGACGGCCATCAGCAGGTCGCTCAGCATGCTCATGTCCCACCCCCTCCCTATGTGGTCACGAGTGACGTCAGCCCGCACGCACACCGGCGGCCGGTCGGTCCCTCCCCCCTCCCCCCGCCAGGCCGTCACCATAAACCGTTTTCCGTCGCCCTCGTCGGCCACACTGAACTCAAAACCCTCGTACTCGGGCTGGTGCTTGTTCCGCTTCTTGCGCAGCGCTCCCAGAAGAAGCTCCGGTTGGCGGCTCGACGTCTGCTGCCTGTTGCCGGCAGGTGGCGGAGTCCCCTCGCGTGACAGTGTGCTGCCGTGTGGTGGTCCCGGTGCTGGTGGGTCTGGGTGGTGAGTCTGTGGGGCGGCGGCGCCTGTCGTGATCTGCGGTGGCCCATGCTGAGGCACCGGCTTGGCCCGGTCGCTTTCGATGGTGGCGGGTTGGTGTGAGTCATCGACGACAGTCTCCCAGCCGGGCAGCAACTGGAACTGGTGGGCCTTGCCCTTCGGACCCCAGATGTCACGCACAAGCTGATGGATGCACACACACAGCCACCAGAAAATCACATTGGCGTGGGAAATGGGGGGATGTGTGCGTGTGTATGTTTATGCTTACCTGTTCGCGGTCTTCGCAGGCGGCCTTGAAGGCGGATCGGACTGACTGGAACTGCTCGAAGTTGCGAGTGGGTCCCCGGATCTTGCCGACGCCTGGGTGGTTGAGCTGGGCGCGGACGCCCTTGTTGTGCACCATCTGCAGGCCCAGGGGTGCCGGCCTGCCGCTGGGCTTCTTGGGCAGATACTCCTTCAAACACTCGGTGATCTACACACACACGGGGTGCTCGGGATTGGGTTGTTGTGTGTGTATGTAGGTGGTCTCTCTCTCCCTCTCTCTGACTCACGTGTTTGCTCTCCTCCTTGGGCGACATGTGGGTGGCTGGATTGAGGGCCTGGTGGTCCTCCGCAGCACCGCCACGACTACCAGCATGACCCCTCGCCTCATGCCGCGCCGCAGCCAAGTCGTTCTCGGGCGTGTACTCTTCCTGACCCTCTACCTCTCCCGCCGACCGCCGGCCGCGGCCCCGACCGGTCCTCTGCCGCTTGCCACCGCGGTTGAGCAGCAGGTCATGGCCGGCAGGAGGGGTCTGATCATGGCCGGCAGGAGGGGTCTGATCACCCTGCTGCCACTGTGGCTGTGGGTGTGCAGGGATGGGGTTGGGGCTGACGACGGCGGCCAATGCAGATGGACCAGTAGTCGACAAGGCCGCCAGTGCTGCTGCCATGTCACCTGCTCCGAGATCGGTTTGGATCACCGCTGCACCACTGGCTGATGCACGACACTGAGGGCCCGAATGAGCCAGTTGAGCAGGAACAGATGAATGGCCGCCCTGATGCGCCTCTGTTGATGGTGCGGCCGCCTCGCCCGCCTGCATAGCTGGAGCCCGAGAGCCCTCCTCGGCTGCTGATGGTGAGGCGCCAGGGGGATGGATCTGCTCACTCGCCATTGTCGCTTCCGCTGCTGCCGTCACGTCGGCTTGCTCATGGGCTCTCCCTGGCGGCTGTCAAACGCACAGATGACGTGCGATGACGCAGATGCGGCGTTGGACGGTGACCCAGGTGCAGCACCGGACAGCAAAATCGCCAGATCTCGGCTGAAGGAAGGCAAGCCGCTGACATGGTAGTCACAATTCCACTCGGACACGTCCGTATTCCTGAGAGATTCACAACGCGAGCTAGCGGGCAGCGGTTTCAGGCAGCACCCTAGGCCCGTCAAGCCGAGATTGAGTTGAGAAGGAAATGGGTGGTAATGTGAGCAGAAGAAGCAACGACGAGCACTGGCCATCGATCCGCGGCCAGCAGCCGGACTTCATCCATCGAGAAGAGCGGGACAGGCTGCACAAGCTCAAGGACTTGGGCGTCCTCAGATCCACCGCCCTCTTCCTATCGCAGGTCGACTTTGAGACCGACGTGCTGCGCCGACGGCTCGCCCGCGCCCTGCACGACACGACACTTGCCGACGGGACGCCGCTGGACACTGTGCTGACGTTCGATGACGCACAACTGGAGGACCAGCTGCTGCTGCAGGTACACAGAAGGAAGACAGATGGCCTGGGGGATGGGTGGCATGCTCCACTGTGTCAACATAGGCCATGTACTTGGTTGAGGATCAGAGTTGGGACGAGGTGGCCGACGCACTGCGGCTGGCGCGTCAGCTCACCTACTGTGAGCTGCCCGTCAACATCACACAGCAAGACCTCGAGAAGCACCAAAGCAAACAGGTACACAGAACAGACAGATGGCGTGGATTGGATGGTGGGCGGCACTCATCTCTGTGTGTGTATGCCTTGTGTCGTGTAGGCGTATATGGCTCAGCCCCGTGTGATAGCTCAGTGGAAGATGGTCGGCCGCCACGTGGGCGCCAAGAACGGCACAGTCGAGCTGTTCGGTCAGCCTGGCGGCGGGCTGCGTGCCGTTGAAGACGACGCCGCGTATGCGATAGACCTCACCCCTCCCCTCCCCGCCAACAACCCCATCCAGCAGAACGCCCTGCCCCACAACCCCCCCGTCAGTCATCGCATCGGACTGAGTGGCGATGGCTGGTCGGCGGCTGATGGTCCCTGGACCAATGCGTCTTTCTCGGGGTTCATCATCAACACCCTGCTGCCGTACAAACAGGTCAAGGACGTCGGGAGAAGCGTCCGCCGGTCAGCATGACACGAGGGACACACCGATTCATGCATGGGTACACTCATATGTTGGTGTGTTGCAGCGATGCTCGTGGTGGTGTGTTGGCTGGCCTCATCGATCGGCCGCCCCATCAGCCGGTCGCTGGCACCACGGCAGTGACGGCATACCAGGCACCCGATATGTACCACGTGCAGCTGCTGCTGACGGCCTACGACCAGCCATTCATCGCATGGCTACAACTTTGCGATACCGTTGATGACGAATATGGTACATAATGAGAAGAGGGCCTTTCCAAACCAGACAGAGAAGACGGGACACATGACGTGAGAAAACAGAGGTGTGTGTCTGCAGTGTTGGTGTCCGTCAAGACGAGCGAGACGCCTGCACCTGGTGTGGCTGAGAGTGCGCCCTTCAAGCACCGCTTCCCGCTCACCACCGCCCTGGCGCGCCCCGTCCTGGGCCCCATCGCGCCCATCATATTCGACGGTGAGGACCCCAACCAGGACAACGGGGGAGATGGCCACGGGGGCGATGATGTGGGGCGAGGTGGGACATGAGTAAAAGACATCTTGTCACGTGTGTTTTCATTACCTGCAGGTTAATTAGCTATCTATTGATGGCCAAGAGGCGGTAGCTCGACCAACAGACTGACAGACAGGACAGGGGGATTGGAGAGGCATTGATGGTGGGTCGATAAGAGGGGCATTGTGGGGAAGGAAGTGTGTAGCTTGGTGACCCGTCCCATGGATGCTATATATGCTGTCAAGGTCGTTCGTACGCCATCCTCCCTTCTCTATGCACACCAAACCGACCATCCGTCGTCTCACAATGACCGACCATACAGGCGTGATGACCATGCCATGCCATGCTATGCAAATGTCTCATAGCATGGCATGGCATGGCATGGCATGGCCCAAAAGACACACACGCACACACCAAGGGCAGTCTCTCCCATTGACTGACTGACTGACTCACATCAACATCATCAGCAGGCCATGGCCGTCCCACCATTTCCTCTCTAGGAACGAGTGATGCTTGCATCCGAACGACCGTGTGCGATAGCAAAAAAGATGAAAAAAGTGCGGGTATGTCTCGCATATGGCCGGAAAAACGCATGTGTGGACAGATGCGATACATTATATGTCTCGTCTATCGCGTCTCGCTGACAGATAGACTGCGATAGACGCCGGTAGAGTGCGATGGACACCGATTGCTTGCCACACAAATGCTCATCAGCCTCGCCGATCGGTGGCTCATTCGTCTTGTCGGTTGATGGTGCGGCGGATAGATGCGACGTCGGATATGCCCCCAAAGACGGTCTCTCGGGCCGCATCGATGAGTGCCGCCTCGACCCTGCCGTCATCAGACGCACCGCTGTCTTGGGGCGGCTCCACCAGCAGTGACATGCTCATGCCTGATATGCCATACTGCACACACAGCACAGACAGACACGGACGGAAGTCATGTGCGTATTCTGTGTGTTGTGTGCCGGCTGACCTCTTTGATATTGTCGATGACGTGTTGCAGTTTGTCGCCGTGCCGCTCCTTCTTGTCGGCCGCCATGACGCCCATCGAACGCTCGACGGCCGACACCAGACGACCTGAGTCCCACAACTGACCGGCAGCCAAGCTTCCCTCACCCATCACACCATCCCCAGGTGGCCACTGGACGGCCCCCCGCCGCTTGAGTGACTGCAGGAAGCGCCGCAGCTGCACTATGATGACGAGTGCGATGCCCTTGTGGAGGCCGAGGTCGCGGCCGATGTCCTCACCCGCCGCCACACTGTCGATGTCATCCAACATGTCCAGCAAACTCACCGCCAGACAGACCTCCAATCCCTGCACACACACAAGAGAAGACAACACGCACATTTACCACGTCTGCCTTCACATGTGTCTGTGGTGAGCTGACCATGATGCTGTCGGCTAAGTGTCGCATGTCGGGTGATGGGTGGGCCTTGAGCAGCTCCACCAGCTGACCGACCCTTCGTCAGCTCATCGAACGGAATCATCTCGCCCTCCCTCTCGCAATTGCCGTCGTCGCGCTCACCATCCCGCCCACCGCCCACCTCCCCATCCGCCATGCGATCGGCCTCATTCGGATCTCGTTCCTGCGGCACATTGGGTGGGTGCGGGTCATTGACGCGCTGATGGAGTGGTGGCCGCATCGTCATGTCGATATCGGCCAGCCGGTGATGGCCACTCGGCAGCTGCTCGTCATCTGCCGCCTTGAGCCGCTTGGACATGGCTGGTGTGGTGTGCTGGTTACCGAGGTGGTGAAGCTGTTTGATGAATCGACTGGCGGCCTCCTTGAGGTCCTCGCCGTCACGCTGCCCCACCATGGCCGGCAGCCCATGGCGCACAAACAAGTCGATAGACGCAAAGCTCAGAGAGGGGACGGCCGCCAGCATCGCCCCAATGTTGTGACCCACTTGACCATACAGACGGCATAGGACCATCCGCTGGGCGTGTATCATGGGCTGCTGGTCCTCAGTACTGTCAATGTCCATCTCCTGCTGGCGGCATGCCCATGCGGCATCGACGGCCGCCCCCATGGCCTCCCTGGTGGCCGCTGAGAGGGGCACCGACTGCACTGGGGTGCCGGGCAGGACCACCTCGACGGCCAGCTGTGGCAGGGCAGACCCACTCCTGAACCGCAGACAGAGGGGCGTGTCGGGATGGGCTCGGCCGAGTGCCTCCAGCTGCTGGTAGAAGTGGCGAATCAGATGCCCCCTCTGCACCGGCGACACACGAGGGCCGCGACTGGCCGTGTGGTGTGTCGGCGGCGTTGCCGGTGGGCCCTCCCGCAGCCAACTGGGGGCCTCGATGTCTGCAGGTGAGGGATTGCACTCGAATCGGTCGTCTCTGCGGCGCCGCGGTCGGTTGGTGTCACGGCGAGCCGTAGGGTGCAGAAGCACACCGCCCCCCACACCACCGTCACGCAGCTGAGGCGCCTGTCGCTGTTTGACGGGCAGAGGATCGTCGCCATCGTCGGCACTTCTCGAGTCAGCTTGGTCGCCATGCCTCTTGGCCCCTCCCTCTGACGTGTGCAATCGCTCCGTCTTCCGTCGTCTGTGTGCGATGGCGGCCTCCTTAGCACCCTCGAAGCCAAGACTTTCGACCATGAAGTGCTTGCTCTTCCTGCTGCCCCCCTCCTTCCAGCGGGCCACCCATGAGTTGTGTCTCTTGTCGTAGCTGACGCTCTTGACGCCGCTCCGGTGTCCGATCCGCCCCTCGATGGTGGATGGGCTCCTGCTGGCGAGAGCCGTATGTCTGCGGCGCTGCTTGCGAGAGGGGTTGTGGTCGGATGACCCGCCACGAGTCGAACCCTCTGGTCTCGATGCGCTCCATTGCTGCCCGTCGGCATCGTCTCGGTTTAGGTCCGCCAGCTGAGGCTTTGCCTGCTCCACCAGGCTGGCCGCCAGAGAATTGCCGCCCGCCTCACTCAGCTTCGCCGACACACAGCGCTCCCTCTCGCCGCCCGAGTCCTCACGATGGCGCTTGGCTGCTGGCCGGTCGATGAGCAGCTCGTTCTCGGAGCTGGACGAGTCGGCTATTGGCCTCTCACTGACACGAGGTGACGACCTGCCTCTGTGGCGGCGCCGGCGCTGAATGTGGGGCGCCATGGGGTCATCGTTGTAAAGTGGACGGTCACTGGGGCCCTCAGACAGAGACGGGGGCGGCATGGGCTCGCGCCTCGCTCCGCTGCGGCGGCGCGTCCGAGGTCGATCGCAGCCGTCGGGGCTGATGTCATCGAGCCAGCTGATGTCCAGGGGTGCAGCGGCCCCTCCCTCACTAGCAGTGCTCAGGCGGTTGAGCTCCTCGACGGCGCGGCGAAAAGCGGCGATAACGGCCGAACGGGAGCTGAGGTCGACCACCGGGACATCGACAATGCGGTCCTCGCCATCTTCCCCCTCGGAGGACGGCAGACGGACACGGAAGCCGCCGTCCTGCCAACACAACCCGCATGACCTGACCGAAAGAATCCATCCCACACACATGTACACACGCGACAAATCGGGCCCTTCCTTGTATTCCCTTGTCTTGTCTTACCCGTCGCTGCTGAGGACCTCAACGAGCGCAGCAGCCAGGTCGCCGCCCTCCATCCCACCCAAATCTGGCCTGCTGCTGGGGGGGCCGTGGCGGCGCGGCGAAAGAATCTCATCATCATCATCATCATTGGGGGGGTTGTGGGAACGGCTCTCATCTCTCGTCGCCCCGCCCTCTGACGTGTGGTGCCGCTGCTCCATCTCCCGTCTGTGTGCGATGGCCGCCTGTTTGGCCTCCTCGTAGCCCAGCTGCTTGACGGAGAAGGCCTTGGTCTTCCTCCTGCCGCCCTTACGCCATTCGGCCACCCAGCTCTTGTATCCTTCGGAGTAGCTGACGCCCCTGACGCCGCTCTGGTGCTTCGAACGCTTCTTCACAACTGCCCGGCCGTTGCGCTCCATCTCGAGACGATGGTGCTCAGCCAGCTCCTGATCCATATGTTTGGGGAAACAGAGAGTGAGATGGAGGCAGGGTGCTGCGATGCGACGTCGGTACCTTCGCTTTGTGGAAGCCATGCTCCTTGACGGAGAACCGCTTGCGCTCCTGCTTGCCGTCGCCCTTGTCGTACCAGTTCGCTTGCCAGTACTGACCCCGCTCACACCAGTGGACGCCCTGCACGGCTGACTGATGCTCGGCACGTTTGCGGCAGACGGTGTTAGCCTTGCCGGCCTTGTGCCCCGGCTGTCCGTCACGCGAAGACACGTCATCAGCCCAATCCATGTCGTCATCGCCCCCAACACCACACACATCCGCCTCCCTGCCGTCATGTGCCGGACCCTTGGAGGCCGCACCAGCACTCGTGCCTTTGTCGGCGTCATGCTTGTCCGTCGGCTGTGGCTGCAGATTGATCCGCCGCACGTCGATCATGACTACACCGCGCCGGCCGTGGTAATGAAGTCGCGTGGTGGTCCTGGTGCCGGTGGGTCTGGGGCGGGGGGTGCGTATGAGTGGGCGCCTGTCGTGATCTGCGGTGGCCCTTGCTGAGGCACCTGCTCGGCCCGGTCGGTCGCGATGGCCAGGGTGGTGGCGGGTTGGGGTGAGTCGTCGACGACCGTCTCCCAGCCGGGCAGCAGGTGGAGCTGGTGGGCCTCGCCCTTCGGACCCCAGATGTCACGCACAAACTGATACACACACACATCCATCAACCACACACACAGACACATATTCACATTGGCGTCAGAATGCGTACGGGGACGTGTCTGTATGTATGTGTGTGCCTACCTGTTCGCGGTCTTCGCAGGCGGCCTTGAAGCCGGATCTGACTGAATTGAGCTGCTCGAAGTTGCGAGTGGGTCCCCAGAGGGCGCCGACGCTTGGGTGGTAGAGCTGGACGCGGACGCCCTTGCCCTGCACCATTGGCAGGCCCAGGGGGGCCGGCCTGCCGTTGGGCTTCTTGGGCAGATACTCCTTCAAACACTCGGTGATCTACACACACATACAGACGGGATTGGGTTGTTGTGTGTGTAGGCAGGGACTCTCTCTCCCTCTCTCTCCCTCTCTCTCCCCCTCTGACTCACGTGTTTGCCCTCCTCCTCGGGCGACATGTGGGTGGCTGGATTGAGGGCCTGGTGGTCCTCCGCAGCACCGCCACGACTACCAGCATGACCCCTCGCCTCATGCCGCGCCGCAGCCAAGTCGTTCTCGGGCGTGTACTCTTCCTGACCCTCTACCTCTCCCGCCGACCGCCGGCCGCGGCCCCGACCGGTCCTCTGCCGCTTGCCACCGCGATTGAGTAGCAGGTCATGGCCGGCAGGAGGGGTCTGACCGCCCTGCTGCCCCTGTGGGTGTGAGCGTTGGTGTGGGTGTGCGGGGATGGGCTTGGGGGTGACGACGGCCGCCAGCAATGCAGACAGGCTAGTAGTCGACGAGGCCGGCTGCATTGCTGCCATGTCACCTGCTCCGAGATCGGTTTGGATCACCGCTGCACCACTGGCTGGTGCACCACACTGAGGGCCCGAATGAGCCAGCTGAGCAGGGACAGATGAATGGCCGCCCTGACGCGCTTCTGTTGATGGAGCGGCCGCCTCGCCCGCCTGCATAGCTGGAGCCCGAGAGCCCTCCTCGGCTGCTGATGGTGAGGCGCCAGGGGGGTGGATCTGCTCACTCGCCATCGTCGCTTCTGCTGCTGCCGTCACGTCGGCTTGCTCATGGGCTCTCCCTGGCGGCTGTCAGACGCAGAGATGACGTGCGATGACGCAGATGCGTTAGACGGTTACCACGGTGCAGCACCGGACAGCAAAATGGCCAGATCTCGGCTCAATGAAGGGAGGCCGCTGACATGGTAGTCTCAATTCACTCGGAACACGTCGTATTCCTGCGAATCCTCACTGCGAGCTTGGCGATGGCGAGCTAGAAAGATCTGCTCATGATTCAGACGTGCAGAAGGCCGCCTTCGGCAGGGGGGCTCGTGCAGAGAGGTCTGCCGTGGCAAAACAGCGCCCTCCCAGCTCCAGTAATGATGACGGCGATGGACGAGAGGCGGCAGAGTGTCCAGGGGCGCTCACTGCTGACAGCCAAGGGCCACAACCCCGCCATTCCCTCACTGGTAGGCATCGACACTCATGGGCAGACAGATCACAGCCAAGTTCATCTGATTCATGAATCAATCTCGTGAATGTGTGTCCGTGTGTGTCTGATTTGTTTGTCCTGCAGAAGCGCATCTACCAGATGGACGGCACGGCGCTGCGTCGTTCGATCCAGGAGACCACTCGGCGTCACTACCGCCACCGTGAGGTGTGGGAGGCTTACATGTACAGGGCGGCGGTGCTGCGGTCGCAGATGAAGGTGGCCGACGCCACACTGATCATCCACTGCTTCGCCACCATCGGCAAACGGGTCGACTCATTCCTCGACTACATGCTCGACGTGGGCCACACAAACAAACACACCGCCACGAAGGAGGCTTTGTCTGTGTCTGTCTGCTGTGCATGTGGACTGTGCAGGGTTTGCGAGGGCGGCTGCACAATTTCCGGCTGGGCCACCTGGCCCTTCTGTTGGTGAGTGTGTGCAAGCTGAGGAGAGAGGACAGATTCCTCGTCGAGGCCGCCCTGCCGGTCATCTATAAGAAATTAACGCCACAGGCGCCACCGAAGGTGACATGGCAAGGAGGAGGATCCTATCGTCACTTTTTTCTTATGCCTGCCTGCCTGCCTGCCTGTCTGCCTGTCTGCCTGTCTGCCTGTCTGCCTGTCTGCCTGTCTGCCTGTCTGCCTGTCTGTCTGTCTGTCTGTCCTTGACGCACAGGACATAGCCGTCCTTGCCCATGCTTATGTGCGGATCGACGGGCCGAGCCGACAAGCGGTGCTCGACAGGGTGGCTGCAGCTATCGCCCCACGGATAAGGAAGCTCGAGAACCCCTTGACCCTAAGCCTGCTGCTCCACGCCTTCACCTTCCCCCCATCACACATGGTGCCCTTCACCAAGAGAGCCTCATTCCTCCACAGCAACAAGAGAGACGACAGCGGCGGTGCGCCGGTCGGCCCCTCAGCCACAGAGGCAGAGACTCCGGAGGCGGCCGTCTTGCGCGACGCTGCATCAGCATCAGAGCCCATCCGGTTCGCCAAGGGCGGTTCTGACGAGAGTGAGGCTGGCGATGGTCTGCCGCACCGAGCGCTCATCCAGCTGCTGCTGGACCAGGCGTCCAAACACCTACACAAGTTCCGGTCCACCGACCTGATGTTCCTCTTCCTCTCCATGCAGCAGATCTTCAGACGCGACAAACCACCGCCACCAGCAGCAGCTGAGGGGGAGGGAACGGAGGAGCCCCAGCCTGGTGAGGAGGAGTGGGAGGAGGCCGCTGATGAGGACGAGCGGAGAGCCCTGAGGAAGGTCTATGGCCGGCATTTGGGCAAGAAGAAGAGACCGTCGCCCCTAGACACCGGCACCGGGATGGTCCCCTTCCTGCTGCTGCGGCAGGTGACGCGTCAACTGCAGAACGTGCTGTTCGAGCTGCGCGGCCCTGAGTTCATCAAGCTGCTCAGCACCTTCCCAGACATCCCCCCCACGGCCATCGACAGCGTCGTCAAGGCCAGAGTGCTGGAGGAGCTCAGATACCGGGTGGCCGATTTGGAGGGCGACCAGGCATTGCAGGTGCTCCACTTGCTTAAGCGATGGGCGGACCGGTCGGCCTTTGGGGGGCGTGTCGCGACGACGGAGGACACCTTCGCCCCTCTCCCGATGGACACCCGCATCGGCGGCATCCAGCGGCCGACCGACCTGACAGTGGACAAGGCCCCATTGGAGCCGATCGACGAGATGCAGGGGCTGGAGGTTGAGGGCAGGCCGATCTTGCCCGGGCTGGAGGCGGACCTGTGTCTGCGTCTGATGGTTGGCGACGGCCTATCGCTGCTGAGTGTGGAGGAGATGCTCGCACTGGGCGAGACGCTGTGTGCCTCGCCGTCAGGCTTCCGGCTGGGGCCGCACAGGGAGCTGGCCGCCCACCTTGTCAAACACCTACGAATGACTAAGGCCCCACACGCACCCATGGTGAGTCAGTCGTTGAGGGAAAGCCGTCTTTGGTGGGTGTGGGCGACTGGGTGTGGTGTGGTGTTCCGTTTGTTTGTGTTGTCATGGCTGCAGACAGTTGCTCGTGCTTCGTGGATCTTTGCTCGTCTGGGTGTGCGTGATCGTCGGTGGGCGTCGCTGTGCTGCACTTTGGACGATGAGATGCCCGTGGCATCGCCGGCCGCCCTGACAGTGCTGGCGGGCTCACTGGCCAGACTGGTACTCCCCACTGTGGTACGTACGGAGACGAGGGAGAGGGAGGGAGAATGGGGGGAGAGGGATACATCGACTGATGCGTGTGTGTAGGCTGATGCGCTGAACATCTTCCCTCTGGCGTCGACGCTGACCTATTCATCGGTATGCACACCACGCAGGCGGACAAGGTGCAGACAAACAGCATTGGTGTCGCTGCCTGCTCCGCCCCAGACGACCCACGCAGTGTCGGTGCTGCTGGCTGCGGCCATATTCGACCTCTCGTCGCGGCCAAAGAGCCTCACACCAGCCATGATGACACCCGTCGCTCAATACGTCCTCCACAATGTAACAGAATGAGCATGCTGGCATGGTTGTGGTGGTGTGATGTTCCGCTTCTACCTTACCTTCATTCATTCAGAGGGATGCCCTGAGTGAAGACGAGCGGACATCGCTGGGATTCGTCGCCTGCTCGAGAATCCTCGACGAGTGCCCGGAGACCGTCAAACAGGTAAGGTACCCCTCACACCAGAAAGCCAGCAGCCATACCTGTCTGTGCCTCCATCCATTCATTCAGTTCTTCCACGAGTGCACGTGGTCGTGTCAGCCCGTGGCCGCCCACCACCGCCGCACCTCATCCCTCGACCTCCCCGCCATGTACAGCGCCAAACCCCCACTCAGACCCAACGCAGACACCTTCCTGCCGCCATCACTGACCAGGACACACAATGCAAACCAGCAGCCAGAAGACCCCTCACCGGACAGCACGGCCCCCACCGCTCCCCCTCTACGTGACAGGGACCGTGCACCAGTGGAGGCCTCTCAGCTCGACTCTGGTTTGTCGGCTCGGTGGTGTGGCGGTCGCCACGTGTCCCCCTTGGTCAGCAACAGCTTCCCCCAGCGCGTCAGGCGGGAGCTGCGGTCGTGGCAGCGAGTGCATGTGCTGGAGGACGTCCGTGTGGGGCCCTTAGTGGTGCCGTTTGCCGTCAGCCTCGTGAGCCTCGCCAGACACCTGCGCGAGCACCCACTGATGCCGCTGGAGATGTCGGAGGAATCGTCGGAGGGGGAAGACAATACGGAGGATGGCATCTTCGGGAAAGGAGACAGGGAGGAAGAGGAGAGCGACGGCGAGCGCGAGGAGAGCTGCCGCAGCGGCAACACGGTTGCCGATGCGTCAGAGGAGGACTCGACGAATGATTGGATGACGCTTGGGGATGAGCTGGAGACAGGCAGGGACAAGGAAAGCCAGCCTCCAGTGGCAGCTGCTACGAGGGGAGGGAGGGGGAGGCGGTCCAAAAGACCGTCCATCGACAGCCCGGCACACACGACAAACGAGTCACACAAGCCGACCATCCAAGAAGAGGAGGAGCCACCCCCATCAGCTGCACCAGAAGAAGACATGAAGACATCATCACTCGGCGAAGGACGAGTGCGTGCGGCCCCGCCCTCCCAACCATTCTCCACTGGCAGCACCCCGAGCGCAGCGTCCCCTGAGGAGCACGTGTTGGTCTATCTGCTGTGGCATGACTGGGACTTCTACTGGGAGGGGCCGGCCGTCAGGCAGTTCGGCCGACACAAGTACAAGAGCCACCTGGTGACGGCACAGAAGTTCGCCGAGCTGAATGCGCTGCGGGCCCTGGGGTGGCAGGTGATCTGTGTGTCTGAGCGAGACTGGATTGACGCTGAGGGCCGGCATGCACAGAGCTGGGCGGGGCAGTGGCGGAAGAGGCACATTCTGCAGCAGATAGCCCACCTGTCGAACGCTGGCAGGAAGAGAGAGGGTGGAGGGGGGGGCGAGTGATCGAGGGACTGCGCTGCGCGGTGTGTATGGCTGAGGACGAGATTCCTGTCTGGTAACAATGCTTTGCGGTGGGTGTCTTGCGGGTTCGAGTGCTGCATGAAGCTGACCGAGCATCGAGCTGCTGCTCCATCTCGTAGGTTGCCGGCATAGTAGTAGATCTGACAACAAACTGCATAGTATTACCGAGTTACACACCATTCGAGGGTCGATCGTCAGTGTGTGCACTTGTCTGACCGGATCAATCAACACACAGCTTAAAACACACACGCACGCACCACGCCATGCACAGATGACATGACGCACAAGCACACCCATGGCATGGAGGGAGGGAGATACCGAGAAAAGCACCACACGAACAGACGACACTGAAAAACATACATCACACTGGCTGGTTTGGGCTGGCTATCTGGTCCACGAGAAGACTTTGTATACAATGAAGAGAAAGATGACCCCACCGATGACCAGCAGCGGCGCATACTGCCGGGCGAGTGCCTGCAGATTCAACGTGTGGGCCGCCTTCCGAAACTGACATACACACATGCCACATGCCACAGACAGCAGCAGGTCCCGAGGGGTTTTGTCCAACACGACCGTCGTGTGTCGACCACCCTACAGCCTCCCTCCTTGCATCCCCCACGTGACGTGTACTGTACCTTGTCGGACTCGTACTTGAGGCTCGTCGCTTTCCTCCCCACATCTGAATGAAGGAATGACACAAGCAGACAGACATCAGACATACATGCAGAAAAGTACGCAGGATGATGGATGGCCCGTGTGCGGCTGTGTGTGTGGTGCTGCTTGGCGGACGGACCTTCAAGGTTTTCTCCCCTCTGCAGGACCTCGTCGATGTTTTGTCTCATGATGGAGGCCACCTCAGTGAGGCTGTCGTTGAGCTTCTGCAGCGCCTTGTTCGACCGGGGGTCGCGGTACTCCATCTTCTTCCGCTGAATCGTTCGGTCTGACCACACCCGTACAGCACACCACGTCAGTCAACCACGGTCACAGCGACGCCATGGGAAGGAAGAGCACCCAGTTTCCTTGTGTGTGTGTGTCTGTGTGTGAGTGTGTGACTGACCGAATTTGATGAAGTAGTAAGGTTTCTCGACGGTTTCGATCTGGGAGCGGTAGTCGACGGAGTGTGTGCCGAATTCCCGCTTGAGTTCCTCCTGGAAGGCCCTGTGGATCTCCTCGAGGAAGGAGAAGGCCAGCTTCTTGGGGTAGGACTTCTCGCACAGCGTCATGTAACAGATGCCGCTGTCACACAAGTAACTGATGGGATGATTCAATAAATCGCAACAGGACACAAAGCACACACAGACAGACAGACAGACAGACAATTCTCGGTGCTTGTGTTGTGTCAGGTGTGTGGTGTGTCGCCTGTGCCTGCCTGCCTGCCTGCCTCACTGGAAGGTGTGTGTGGATGAGTCGACGGAGCATCTGGGCGGGGCTTGGTCGAGCTTCTTGAGCAGCTGCTTGGCCTGCTGCTTGAACGTCTGCAGGCTCTTGTTGTTGTTGATGTCGTCCCAGGTCTCTACCAAGATCAAACCGTCCGTCGCACGAGCTATGAACGTCAGACGAGGCATTCTTGTGATGTGATTGCCGCAAGCTGGGATCTTTTGATTGATGATCTATCTGCCCATTACCGGAGACGTCCACAACAGCGCGGAGGCGTAAGGCCAGCTAAGCTCGCAACTCGAGAAAACGGAAGGGGACTTGGCCGTCAGGCCACCTAGGGTGCTCCCTGAAACCGCTGCGAGAAAACGGAAGAAAGCATCATTTTTAAAGCATCGTGGTTGCCTATTGAGGTGCTCGACAGCATCTCTACCCAATTGATTGCGAATTCCTACGCTCGGCAGCGGTGATCCATCCGTGTGCGACCCCCCTCTGATTCACTCATCTCATGTCTGTGTCGATGTTCCCTGGCCCACTGGATGCGGGCAGTGACGACAGCGACCTCCCCACTCTGGCCGACCTGCGGCACGCACTCGAGGACGGCAACATCGCCGAGCTCATAGAGAGTGTGGACGACCTGACGCTCAGTCTGCAGTTCGACGACAACAAGCGGCAGCAGTTCTTCGCGGCAGACACGCTGCATGACATGCTGGCTTTCCTCGTCGAGTCACTGCAGAGCTTCGGAGAGGTCAGATCAGAGTACCACAGCAATCAGCAGCTCATGTGTGTGTGTGTGTGTGTGGTGGTTGTGTTGATATGTGTGTGGGAATGGGAATGGGATGGGGTGCAGGAGGAGGATGATGGCGCTTCGTCCATCATCGGGCTGCTGATCGTGCTGGCGCAGAACGGCCCGCCCGACACCTTCTGGCCCTCGCTGCTCAACTCCAACTTCGCAAGGATCCTACTCGACAGATGGTGCACATACACATGCACGTCAATATCAGCTAAGCAGTGTGTCGAGGCCATCCACCACTTGATGTGTGTCTAGGTTCACCGACGAGGTGTCGACGTTTTTCGTGGCGCATCTGATGCGGCAGAAGTCTCTATATGCCCGCATCAGGGCAGAGGGCCACATACAGCTCTTCTTCGACTCGATGGAAAATGCAGAAATGACCGTCAGCACCGCACAGGTGAGCGAGGCCCCATAGATAAACACACACATCCGCCGGCAGGCAGGCAGGCAGGCAGGCCGGCAGGATGTGTGTGTTGCGTCCGTCCATGCAGTTGATCCACCACACGATCCGCAGCGCCACGTGCATCCGCGAGTACGACGACATCGCCCACCGGATGCTGTCCCTCTCGCTCTTCGTCATCTCCACCATGACACCCGACATCTCGTCCACCGCCACGCACAACACCGGCGGCCTGCAGCTCATCGACCCGCGCAGGCACTCCATCGACGCCATCAAGGCCTTCGCCGAGAGGAAGGCCATGTACTACCTCGCTCTCGCGTGCGACAATCCCGACCCTCGCACCATCCGCTACCTTGACGAATTGACCGACCTCGTGACGACCCGTGTGGAGAGTCTGGAGAACGATCAGGGGCGGCGGGAGCAGCAGAAGGAGAGGCTGGTGCGGATGGAGGGGGCGGTGCGTCTGTGTGCGCTGGTGTTGGATCGCATCCCCATTACCGACTCGACCCGCGCTGCGCATGAGCGGATGCTTGGGCTGGTGGAGAGGGCGGTGCGGACATACAAACAGAGCCTCTTCGGCACCGTTGAGAGGTGGTACGTGTGTCGTGTGTTCATGTGTGTGCGCCCATGGACCCATGTGTGTGTGTGGCCGTGTCGTCCGTCAGGGATTGGCTGCGGTTCCAGGTGTATGCGCTCGGATGCTCGTGAGCACTGGCAGACATACCATACACAAGGAAAACACAGACAGACAGACAGACAGGCTCACTCATTGACTGCCTTTCCGTCCGCCGTCCGTCAGTGTGTACCACCGCCACACGGCCGACTACGGGCGTGTGTCGCGTTTGGCGGCCGACCTGGCAGCCAAGCTCACCACATCCCTCCAGCGGCCCACCGTTGTGTCGGCGGCTAGTGCCAGCGAGAGCGCGCCAGGCCAGTCGTCGTCTTCATCGGCTGCTGCCGCACCGACGGATGACGGCGCCAAAGCTAAGGTCGAGAGAGAGCCACATTTGCTGGGTGAGCGGAGGATGAGGGAGCGCGAGCCGCATTCATTTGACGTTCTTTCGTGGGCTCCTTTATGTGCAGCGTTGGTGTTGACGACTGATCTGATATGGGCGAGGCGCCTGTGGCAGGCCACGGTGAGCGCCGAAGGGATGAGGCGAGCCTGAGACGCTTACACGAGAGGGTGGTTGTGGTTGTGGTTGGTGTTTGTTTGGCAGGACGGTCAGACGGCCATCCCGGCTGACTCACAGACGATACAACACCTCGCCAGAGAACTCATCAGGGTCCGCAAACAAACCACAAACACCCGAAGTGCCCACAACGCCATGATACTTTTGCTTGATCAGGTGATAGCCCGTCTCATCAGCGAGCGGCCCGTCACCCCGTTCCTGGCCCTCCTCGACACACAGCAAGAGGAGCCTCCACTACCACAAGCGGACACAGACACGCCCCAAGAAGCTTCACCCCAGGCCACCCAGCTGACACTGAGTGACGACGATAGCGATGGACCTGACGCAGAGGAGGATGAGGCAGATGAGGACGTGCCTGAGGAGACCCACAACCAGCCGGAGGAGGGCAGCAGCCAGGAGGGGGAGGGCGACAGTAGTGAGGATGGGAAAGATGAGGGCGATGCGCCAGCCGCGGCAGCAGCAGCGGCAGCCGCGCCACCACAGCCCACCGACGCCACCGCAGATGAGAGCGATGAGGATGAGGACGAGGCACACACGTACAGAGTGCCCAAGGCGGTGCTGTTCCCCCACTCGGCCATCCCTCCCCCTGTGAGCCACAACGCCAACAACCCGCCGCCCGCTCCTGCCATGTCACGACACGCTGCTGCTGCTGCTGGTCGCTCCAGATCATCCGTCAAGGTCAAGATGGCATACCCCTTCACACACGACCGGTAGGTATCGATAATGCGATGACATGACCACCACAGCATACCACACACACCATTGCCACCTTTCTCCTCTCTGCTTTCTGTTTCTTCAGTCGTGTGCTGCTGTTGGAGGCGCTGTGTGCGGCGCCCGCTGCATGCCTTGCCCCCATTCTCGCCACCGAGCAGCAGCCACCCGCCGCGTCCAGTTCGGCAGCTGCGGCCGGTGGGGACCATGTCAACGGCACCAGTGAGGTATTCGTGTTCCGGGCCGGGGAGAGTGAGGGTGAGGGCGAGAAGGCGACGGCTGGTGTGCCAGCGGCGGTCAAGGGCAACAAGGCCAAGGCGTTGGCTTTGGGGTGGCGGACAGACCACCCCATATGCTCCGTCAGGGAGAGGTCAGCAAGCTGCCAAACACCCAAGACAATCCGGGAATACATACACCTGCACCTGTGTGTGTGAGTAGATTGCGTCGTTTGATCGAGTTCACTTTGACATCTCAGGGGATCTTCACGTCCAACAAGTGGTTCGCCGCCCTGAGGCAGCGCGACCAGCGGGTCGCTCTCACCGTCTGCCGCTCGCTCGCCTTCCCACACGGCATTGTCGAGCGCGTCCTCGCACTCCTATACGGACACATCGCCGCCTCGTCCGTACTGGCCACCAGCAAGGCCATCGTCGACTCGCCCCCCCTGCTGCGTGCCGACGATGAGGCCGACGAGCTGCTGGAGCTGTCGCCCTACATCAATGAATTCGCTGGGGAGAGCTGATGCATGTGTGGAGGGGCGGGGGAGGGGGTGCTAGTATCTCGTGGCGGCGGCAACGGTCGCTGCTCGGGGCCGGTGGGGGCGGGTATGGTCCCTCGGGGGCCCTCGTTTTTTCGACGATGCTGGGCTATGCTGAGCTGGTGGGTTTGATGATGCATGTGACTAGATTTAACTCAATCAATGCACACGTGTGTGGCAAAGAAGGCAACGACGGCAATCAATCAATGTGACCTGTTTCTGTGGACGTTCAGTCCACCCGTGCGTGATTGGATTGATGGACCCTTCGATGAATGTGATCGTGATTGTGATTGTGAGCGAAAGGTGCGCAGAGGACCTCGTTGACCACACATCACATCAATATACGTATTGAGTTCTCCCTCCCTCCCTCCCTCCCTCCCTCCCTCAGCCACGACGAATAAACCGCCTGCCTACCGGACACTCTCATCTATCTATCGTATCTCTTTCGTCACGTCACACCAACACACAGACAAATATCCACACGCCTCACACAGACAGAGGCCGCCGAGACCCCATTCACTCGACACGCATCGCGTGCCTGCCTGCCTGCCTGTCTGGCTACCCTTCATTCTCTTCGTTCTCTTCAGTTGAGTCACCCCCCTGGCTGACCTCTCGCCTGTCCTTGTTCATCTTGATAAACCTCCTCAGTATCCCGGCCATCTCCCACGTCAGCTTTTCCAACTCAGGCTCACTCGCACCCGCCTTATACGGACCGCCGTCATACGCTGGGGGGCCTCCGTATTGCCCGGCCGTCGCCGCCGACGTCGTGACGGCAAGGCTGCCCGTCTGCTGCTGAGCACTCGAGTCATTGGGCGTCGTATGTGTACCTGAAGTCACACAGAAACACACACACACAGTCAGACAGAAATGTGTGTGCATCAATCCTTCTTGTGTGCCATTGGTTTCTACCTGGCAGCGTGATGAAGTCGGTGCTGCCTCCTTTCGGGTCCATCTTGGACACCAGCAGCCCCGCCAGCCTGTCGCTCTCATCGATGCCGTCCCGCGTGAACTTGATCACAGCGTTCCTCTCCACCCCATAAGACGACTCCAGTATCCTCCACGTGCTAGCGGGATCAGGCGTAAACTCCTCTGGCAGGTTGGCGAGCGCCGATGGCAGGTTGCTGATCATGTTGTCGGCCTGCGGGCCGCCGACACCCATCTCGCGCAGGAAGGACCTCCCAAGACGGCCCAGCCGGCCGCCGTAAGAGTCATCGAGCGACTGCAGACCGCCACCAAGAAGCTCGCCAAGGACGTCGCCGTACGGTCCGAGGCCGCCCAGCTGCTGGCCTGCAGACCGCAACTGGCTGTAAAATGGGATGGACTGCGACGCGCCATAGTTATTGAAGGCCAGGAAGATGTTGCTGGAGGGCGTGATGAGGCTGAGGCGCTCCTTGCTGTCGGCGGGCAAGGCGCCCAGCAGCATCAGCACCTTGGACCCTGTTGCGAGAGAGGAAAGAAAGGCAGACAGACAGCATGCTCCAGTGTGTCATCGATGGGTGGTCTGGGGTCTGATTGGGCGGCTTGCCTAGTGAGTGTCCGATGCCGATGATTGGCACGGAGGACTCCGTCATTCCCAAGTCCTCACGCACAGTCTCGCTAAACTGCAATCACACACACAGCGTTCTTCACACGCCATGTGCTTGGCGTTGCGAGTGCCCCGCTCCCTCCCTGCCGCCCCACACACCTGCAAGCTGGCCTCCACACATGCCCTTAAGTGGTCAAAAGTCGCCAGGGGCAGCGGGGTGGCCACGATGACGGCGCCCGTCAGCCGACACAAGCCCTCAAGCAGTGGACCGTACGCTGCCCTCGGTGCCGACCCCACCAGTGTGCCGCCGATGAAGTGGATAACGGCGGTGGGGGCAACGGTTGACGGCATCGGCGGCATGAACACATCTGCACCTGATTTAGACTTGGTCACGATCACATCTGTGTCGCCGACGGACGACATGATGCCCCGCCTTGGTGAGCTTGCTGTGCCGTCATCTCCGCCTCTGATGCTGTCCCAGTCCCTCGATGAGTACTCGCCATCGCCCGGCGATGAGGATGATGCCCTGGCATCAGAAAGGCAAGACAAGACACACAGACGAATGAAGGACGATACGATGCTTGCACATGGCACTTGCCTGATTGGGATAAGTTGCCGCCCTGGCGCCTTGTTAGTGATGCGTAAGCGCTGACAAGGAGAAAGAGAATGTGCTGTTTGGTGGACGCCGACAGGCCCGATGAAAGCTGCTGCCATCGATGAGGCACAGACGGCAAAGACGGCGGCGAACAGACTCATCTTCGTGATCTGCAGACGGGATGAATCAGATGGATACACGGAGTTCGTGCTGTGCAGTTGGTTCGCGCTGCCACTTCGTCGACTTACGACTTAGAGCCGAGCGTAAAACGCGTCATTGCCTTGTCATTGCAACGTGAATGCATGCAGAGTCAATGCGTGTTCACCCCAGCGCGATGTATTCCATTTTTCTGCTGTTGCTGAGCGTTGCCGCGACAACGGCCCACCGCAGCGATCTTTTGCCAGACGAGCGGCCGCCAGGTGCCGTGCGTAAGCAGATCAGGCTTCGAGCAGCGCAAGATCCCTCCCAGGTGACCACTTCATCGCCGCCATCGCCGTATGGCACCCCATCCGGCCCTACCGCCGCTGCGGGTGGTTTATCCACCACGACCATGAGCCCCTCGCCCACTGCCACGGGCCAGACCATGAACACATCCGCGGCGGCCAGCAGTTCCGCCCCACCCACTACTACACAGCAGCCGAGCACCACCACCGCATCGAGCGTGTTCAAGCCGTTGTATGACCTCTTCACCACCACTACCACCACCCCCCTGCCCACGCCGCTGTTCCCGCAGCCGACAACGACGGGGAGGCCGTCGAATGCATCCACTCCTACCGTAGATGAGGAGACGGGCCCTGGCCCGAAGGCTTACGCCGCCAGCGTTGGCCCACATGGCGCGGCGACTGGGCCGATGAGGAGCACCACTGTCGGTCCTACGACAACAGTGCCACCGACACCGTCAGCTGCCGTGCAGCACAAGGGCGCCGCATTCGTCTTCTTCCAGGAGTCGGAAGGACAAGGTGGGTGCGTGGGTGCCTACGGACAGGAGAGGAGAGAGCCCGTGTGGGCTCTGACACTGTGTGGTCTGCTGTGCTGTGCTGTGCTGTGTTGTGATGTGATGTGTGGTGCACTGCACTGCAGCATTGCACCAGATGGCGAAGACCTGCTCCGAGACCCTTAGCAAGATGCAGCTCGAACTCGCGGCCGCCTTCCACCAAACCGGGAGCGCGCCTGCCGCAACACCCACAGCAACAACGACACCAATCCCGTACCAAGTCATCCCTCTGCGGCCGCCTGGAGCCCCCGCATTCACACCCACACCAGCAGCAGAGACGACAGTCAAGGATATGATGCAGGCCAGCAGCACCGGGAGCAGCGGACACAGCACCACCCCTTCCCCAACACCGGCCAAGCACATAGTGTTGGCGGACACGCAGGTGATGCAGTGGGTGGGCTACTGGAGGATGGTGGCCAAGTGTGTGGAGGAGTCGACCGCGATGCTCGATGACAAGCTGTTCGAGGCACATGGCATGCACCCCACCGATACCCGTCGTATGACCACACAGCCGCCGCCCCGTGCGTCTGCGTCAGTCGTAATACAGAGGTAGATAGCCACGGAGGCCTCACAGAGCCGAGGCGATGAATGGACGAAGAAGAGTGTGTGTTTGTTTGTTGAGAAGGGCTTAGTGTGTGTGGACAGTGGACATTGGACCTTGGCATTTGCGTGTGGCGTGTGGCGTGTGTGTGTGTGTGTGGCGTATGTGTGCCGATCCGATCAATGATAGATCCGATCCATTATGTGTTGTGCGTACAAAGAAATCTCATTGAGCGTACACAACGTTTGGTCTCGTCATACAATAACAATCAATGCACGAAAGAATGATAACAATCAATAAACGCACCCCCACCAAATCCCCTGCCTGTGGGTGGGCTGGTGGGCGGGCGGGTGGCACATGTGAAATGCACACGGACGCACACACACACCACACGGACACCATGTCAGTCAGTCGGGTTAAATAGACCACGTTCATGCAGCCAGCCAGCCAGCCAGCCAGCCGTGCACCCACACACCGTGCCTGTCCTGCATGCCATGCAAAAAGAGGGGGCCCAGAAAGGGATCACTCACTCACTCACAGCCAGACAGCCAGCCAGCCAGCCAGCCAGATATAGACAGACAGGCGCAAGAAAGGGAACAATAGGGAGAGAGAGAGGGGGAGAGACTACAGACAGCAGGGCAGGGCAGGGCAGCAGGGCAGGGCAAGGCTAGGGCTGACTGACATAGGGAGGGACACACATGCACTGACTGAATCATTGTTGGTAGTGAGATGGGTAGAATGAATGAATGGGTGACGCCTTTCCACCTTTGTAAAGAAAGGCGTGAATGAATGAGTGACTGAGTGAGTGAGTGGTCGATCCCACTGTATTGTATGTGTGTGTCGAGACATCCATGCATCATGGCAGCCAAGCCAGCCAAGCCGTGTGTGTAATGCAATGTACCCCATCCCCATCCATCCATCCATCCATCCACCCACTGATTGGCAATGCCATGCAACACGTCGGTCGCACACACACACACACACCCAGCCACACCCACGCAACAGAGGACAGCAAAGCACTCACCAACCCACTTATCCATCCATCCATCCACCCCCAAATGGGTGCGATTAGAGAGGGAAAAAGGTACCGATCGGTGTACATAAACCCGCCCGCCCACCCACAGGGGATTGGTGGGGGTGCTCTGACAGCTGCCCACCGAGAGAGGGAGGGGGGCGAGAGAGGTTGG